AACTAAAAAAATCCAGATCCATGGTCTTTTCTTTAACTCTCTTTTTCCTTGAGCAAAACTTGTATGGTGACTTCATCTTTTCCTCTGTCTTCTAATGAGGTCTAGATCTTCCTTCTTTCTGCTCAAAGACACGTCCTCATATATTTGATGAGATCTCTGAAGTCTTATGGGCCAGGTGCCTTTGATTTCAGCTGAATTAGAAACAGGATGGTATACAGAAAAACACTAAAGGGTTCCAAGAACTACAGCAACAATCACACTAATCATTTAAGGACAGAGGAAGAGGTTTAATGATTCACCCCTAATGTACAGTTCTATTTGCACCATGAAGCTATTTGTTAGCTCTGTTTTACAGACGGCACGTGCTGTTGCTTAAGGGTGGGACGATCAGCTTGAATGACAAATGGGAAAAAATGCTGTGTAACTCCTAGGGCAAACCATTACTGTGAGAAGTCATTCCCTGATCCTGGCAAAGCCTATTTAAGCCCAAGCCACTGAGATAATCACTGGAAGTAGTGAGCCTTTCCTTAAGGATATTACGTGATTTCAGATGTTTACAGCATGCAGACCAGTAGGTGTGCAAGGAAATCTTCTCTCAGTACACTCATTCCAGGGAGATAAACAGTTCTACTACTCCCAAAAGAAATTTCTGTCTTACAGCTCATAGCATGTGTCCCTGCTTTAGAACAAGTTAAACAACTGGTAGTTTAAAAGGAAGAAATCACAGCCAAGAATTTACAAAAGGAGTGGTTTAGGTGTCCAAAGCTACATAAAAAGTACCTAAATAAGCAACCCGGTTATCAAAACGTCTGTGTGCCCAAGGGCTCTAAGAAATGCATGGCACTGAAATGACTATGCAGGGATGTACTGGGAGATTCGGAAACTTGTGGTCCAGCTCCATTAGGGCCAACTTGTATAGCTCAGGCTCCTGCATCGTATGAAACGTACAACTATCCCCCACTGCTTGGGCTTCTTGGAAGTATCTCTAAGTTTCTGCAGAATGCTTAGAGCGATTGATCATATCTGTACTTCGCACTACAAACTGAGCCTTCTGGTAGTTTGATTACACATTTCTGCAGTTGCCCTTCTCTGCTTTAGAGCTACAGTACATATTCTGCATCAGGAACTGACTCAGACAGGAGAGGAAAGAATTTTGTCATTTTAAGTAATGTTGTTCTCATCCAGTGTCACTGAAAAAGAACTCCTTTGAAATCTGTCTACCTATCACATTTAATGCGATAATTTACTGTGCTTTGATTGCTCCATTTAATGGCATAAAGTTGGCTTTTCAGGTGCCAGCAAAACCTGTACCCTGTGCCTGGGCATTTCTGCAAATGTACAGATCAGACTTCCCAGTAATACAGAAGGGCATCACAGTTCTCATCCTAGAACAATAACTTTGCTTGGCTGGGTTTATAGTTAATATTAGCTTGCCACATGGATTAAGTACGGGCATTTGTGAATTGCTGTGGGTTAACACCCCACCTCAGTCAAAATAATCCATGGTTTAGAAAGCTCCAGGGCTTATATTCAGGCTTCAGGATGTAGGTATCAAGGCTATTCTGAAGATGAGGAGGAATTCTAACACTGTCATGCAATTGAGAGATGTCAGCATAGCAGCTGAGGAGCAGGACAGGGACCAGATGCAGGTCTTGTACTGACAGCCTGGATTCAGAGCAACATGGGCAACAAATAATCAGAAAGGGAAAGAAAAGCAGAACACAGATTCATAAATGGCTTCTGTTTATATGAAATCATACAAATGCTGCATTTAAGCCAGTACATGTGCTACATACATAGGAGACGCAATGCATCGCAGAATTTACAGTAACACAAGGCAGTGAAGCAATGCACATTCACAGATGGGAAAGAAAGGTTGGCTCAGCCTCTCAGGCCCACTTTCAGGGAGCGGGGTTATCTCCTGGATAAATCTCCTTTGCAGAACTGGCAAAAAATGTTCTTGGCTGCAAAAGAACTGATAATGGTGCCAAAGGGGAAAAAAATCTGAATTCAAGCAAATCTCCCACCACCAGCAAGAAATCCACATCAAAGCAGAAGTCAATCGGGTAAGACAGTTAATAAGAAAAGGGAAAACCAAATACAAAACAAAACCAAAAAAAAAAGGAAAAAAAAAAAAGAAAAGGGGGTGAAACAGCAATTGCTCACCACCAGCTGACCCCTGGAAAATTCCCCCACAGTTTTATTGCAGAGCATGATGTTAGTGGTATGGAACACCCCTTTGGTCAGCCAGGGTCAGCTGTCCCGGCTGTGTCCCCTCCCAGCCTCTTGCCCATCACCGGGAAGGGGCAGAATGAGAAATTGAGGAAGTCTTGACACCATGCAAGCACTGTTCAGCAATAGCTAAAGCAGCAGTGTATTGTCAACACCGTTTTGGGCACAAATCCAAATCACAGCACCACAGAGGCTGCTATGAAGAAAATGAACGCCACAGCAGGCGGACCCAGCTCAGGGACCCACCTGCAGACTGTCCGAACAGAGCGAACCTGCCAACAGCCGCTACCCGCAGGATGCTCAGCCTTCAGCTGCACTGAGTCACTGCTTCAAGAGGAGGGCAACTCATGGCTAGGGGGCTTCCTTCTGCTTCAATGAATCAGTAAGGCATGCATTTACTTCTTTTATTTTTTACACAAAAATGAGGGAGCTGATTTAGGCTGACTTACACAGAAAGGTGTGTAAACAAACAATTCCCTACTCAGCTTCCTCAAGTGATCACTCCTCTTAAATCTCCATTACACCCTCGCCTTCATGTCCAGGTTCAGACTACAAGTAATGGTTTGTCATGGGAAACAGCCATTTTCTCATCTATGTATACTCCACTGGGATGCACAGCTAGCAGCATTTTACCATCTTATGCAAAGTAAAAGATTTTTCTTCATTGCAGGGGCCCAACTTGGAGACATAAGAAAATACACAAGAGAAACCCCCCCAGTCCAGATTTAGTTTTCATTTTAACACAACCATTAATACCAAATTGCAACTAGCAAGCATTACGTCCATTGTACCAAACATCACATCTCTTCATAATGCTTTCGTAAGTACAAAACGCCAATTTTTTGACCACTGACTATTTGACCATTTCAATAGGCCCAACATATTAGCTATCAGCCTCAAACAGCATATTGTAAAAACATTCAGCTGAATATTTTGCAATGGTATGTGCACCTGCAATTCATGGCTGGCTTGCAAGCGTAAACATGAATAAAAGTTATACAACATTTGTTGAATAAACTACTAGGTCAATTAACTCATTTGAGAGCTTCCTGGTGACATTTGTCAGTATTTTCTGTGGTTTTGAATGAAAAAATGCTTACCGAAGTGGGAACGTGCAATATTAAACCCACGTAAAAAGCACACATAAGCAAAGTATTAGAAATAATAAATGGGTAAATCGTAAGAGACCAAATCAGTATCAAAATCAGTTAAACACAGCTGAAAAGAATGACTCTGTGGACCAAATCCAGTGGAAGTGATTATTTTCAAGGCATGACTACTACTTCATCACTTTGTGTTTTATTGATGGCAAAATCTTACCAAGTCTCAGACTCCCATTACAAAGACTGAAAATTCAGAATTTTACGTTTTCACCTTCCCATGTTTTCTTTACCTGAACAGTCTCTTTTCCTCGTGTGAGTGTTACTTGACTTTTTGTTTTCATTTAAGAGAAGTTACTGAAAAAAAAAAAAAAAAACAAAAAACCAAACACAACGGGTTCCTTAAATATAGGCACTAGATTTCAACATTTTAAGTTCTATGAAATATTTATGGCACAAAAGTTATATTTCCCAATATTCTTAGGTTTTGATAGCCCCTACATACAGAGGAGCAGAGAAGTGTGCTATGAGGAGAGAAGCCAGAGGTGTCCACATGCACCACTTTTTAGATTTGTCTAGAAAAGTCAGAGGCAAGTCCTGCTTTGTTCTACAGGCATAATTTGTGCACACAGTGGCCGTGATGATAATGTGGACAGACTCACTAAGACTTGCACTAAGATGTTTTCATCCTACAGCTACTGTGTAGGAATGGGATGGGGAGAGGGCCCACATAGCCTTTCACTTTTTCCATTCTCCTGAACAGCTTCTTGAGATGATGTAAAGTAACATAAATCCACTCAAGTCCATACAACTTGAACACTTCACACTTTTTGCAAGTGACTCACAGGATCCAAAGCAAAAGTATATGAAAACAAGAAATTTTTGAGCACACTCATGCAGCAAGAGTACTGATGTAATTACTGCCTGTAATATAAAACGGAATGTTTAGAACTTATGTTCTCAGGAATAGGAAATTTTTCCTTGCTAAAAAATTATCATCTTTCCCATTCACAAAATTCCTGCTTCAGACTGTCTATATATTAACTTTGCATGTTGCAGACTTACACTATCGTTTACTTTATAAGGGTGTGATACTCCAGCATCCTTGTAACAGGTTTTATACCATTATAAAAAAATAAAATAAAATAAAATAAAATAAAATAAAATAAAATAAAATAAAATAAAATAAAATAAAATAAAATAAAATAAAATAAAATAAAATAAACCTTGCTATTGCTCAATTTCTTTTTCCCTTTTTTGGCCATGCAAAACTAGATATGAGCTGAATCTGCATCAGGACTTCGTTATATTCTGTTTAAAGTTCTGGTTAACAGAGTTCATAAAACTAGTTTAACTTCACAAAGTATTTCAGAGCTTCTCATTCCCGTAATTTAAAACAATGAGCTATTTTGGGAGGTGCGGAACAGGGTGGATTTGATTTAAAATCATTCTGTTGCTATGCATTTGTAGCTAAACAAGACTCTAAACTATTTATTTAGAAAACACTAAAACAAAACAAAACAAGCAAAAGACTGACAGGGCCCAGGCTGAATTATTTGAGTAGATGGAAAAATAGTGCCCTAACAGACAGAAAAATTCCCACCTGTCTATGGGACAACTGCCTGCAGCTGAGAACATGTCAACAACAATCCAATACAGAAAACCGAAGAGGGATTAGAGTATATTTTTTATTATTTTTTCCCTGATCTAAAATTCAGCTCATTTGGTTGATAAGTCAACAGCTGCAGGATATTCAGCAGAGGTATATTTAGCATTTATCGTATACTTCGAGAAATTCACTTTTCCCCTTCTTCTGAGAAATTAAATGCACAACAAATAATAATAACAGGCTCAAAGTCAGGTAATACAGAAATTCACCTAGTTGTAAACTTTTTCTTGTAATGATAACCTAAGATCTTTTCACACCACTGACCTCACAACTGATACGTGTTAAAGGAGCGTCACCACTGCCGTTTGCAGGGAGGCTATCATTTCACACAGAAGCATTTCAGATTTGCAACCCTGCACTAAAACCCATCGACGAGTCCATTGGGCAGCTGGCATTTTCACATCCAGATGACAAACACACCACACCCTGCTCCTGTACGTGCAATGAGATAGCAACTTCTCCAGGTTAAGTGCTCCAGGAGGGACCGTTTTTGTCTTTTGGTCAGCTATTACCAAGGCAGAGACACATTTTTATTCTTAGTTCTGCTTTTTAACAAGGCAGTAACAACACCCCCTAACCTGGCTACACACATCTTCTGAATATGACTAACTTCTCTTTCACATCAAAAAGCTGTTTTGGTGTGAGCAACCACCACCACACTGCTCCTTCCCAAAGGAGGAAGGCACGCCCCGCAGGCTCACCCAACCAAAAACAGCAGCAGCTTCTCACGAACACGGCCCCCGTCCCAACCACAGAACTGCAGAAGCACTGGAGAGTTCACACAGCCCGCTGGGGACTCGGTTGTGACTATGAATGGCACAGGAGAGGCGCTACATAACAGGAGCAACTACCAGGACAAGGCTTTAGGCTAAAGACCTGTCAATAAAAGACAAGGTTCAGACCCCTCCTTACCTCCAGCTGCAGCCAGCCACCACCTCCTCACCGTCCTGCTGCTGCCCACAGGCCCAGCTGTGCTGTGACTCGGCATCTTCTCCCTCTTCTGCCCCGCAGGAGCACTGCGCAGCCCTCAAGGGAAGCCCCCGGCCCTCGAGGGGCTCCAAACACAACATGGCGCCCAGGGCCACCTCCACTGTGGAGAGTCACACGCAGCATGTAAGGTCTTCTCTGATTGGCTGCCATGCTTGGGCGGGCTCCAGAAAGAGGCAGAGCAGCCAATCACACCTCCCGGCTCACCTCCAGGGGTTTCTCCTCAGGGCAGGAGGCCGGCACGAAATGGTGGCAGGACAACGCTGCGGGGCTAGGGCCGTCCCCAGCTCCCTTCTCCTGCCCAACTTCTCCTGGAGAACCCGGGCCCGAGCCCTGCCCTCTCCTTGCCCCATTTCTCCTCGAGGTGGGAGAGCGGAGGGGTGACTGCTGCCAGGCTCCTCGTGAGGAGCTGCCGGGTGGGTCTGCTGCAGCCACCCTCAGCCAACGTCTCCTCATGAAAAGGTTTTCCCTGGGTTTATTTCCTTTAGGAATAAACGGGGGAGTCCGAAACTCGACCTTTATTTGGAAATGTGTGAGCATTTCCTGTAGCCGTGCTCAGCAGAACAAATGGTACGACACGTCTGCATCAAATGCTGCAGCGCATTGCGGCGTGAAACCACATCTTCCTGTGCTGCTGGCGTACCCTGCGCCTCCCTCGGCTTCAGGGACTCGAGTCCCGCAGAGCACCGCAGGGTAACAAGACAGACACGGAGGGTTTCAATAGATGCAGGTTGCCAACAGGTCTGACCTAGAGGGGAAGCAGTGCATGAGAACCCAAAGCACAGCGCCTAGAAAGCGCAGTGGTAGCACTGGCACACGTTGCTCCTGAATAAGGCATTTTCACATGCACAAAACCAACTTTTTACTCAACACCACAACTATGTGAGTTTCTGCAACAGATGTTCGCTTCCTTCCACGCCCCCTCAAACTCCAAAACTTTCCATCCAGGAAGGCTTCCAAAAAGCCCTCCTGGTTTCTGACTGGCTCTGCCTCAGAGGAAGGGTCCATCTGCACTAAGGACACGAATTTCACAAGAATTAGTCTAGGGAGAGAACGTGATCCAACCAAGAAGCACCACAGAGTAACTGTGTTCAGACCTGAATTCAGATGCATTTCTTTCAGTTTTGGTAACCTGGTCACGCACAACCCATTTATTCATTCGGGCGTTAACCTCTACAAACTGGCTGAGCTGTTATCTCTTGATAAATGAGAATAATAATAAAAAGTGATTTCCATTTGTACTTTTAAACACTTGAGGGGCAGCGGAGTGCTTTGACAGAGTGACTTCAACAGCTTATTATCTGTAGGGACGCAGCTAAACCTGTCACAATTTATTAAAACCTTCGCAGACCACCTGGCGCACTCTCCCTCTTTTTCCCCATCACTTATTCCAGCCGCAGCCTCGCCCCGTTTATGGCCCTCCGCACTTCCCCAGCCCCGTGCCGCTGCGGCACCACCCCCGCGGGCGAGGCTCCCGCGCGGCGCGGCCCCGGGGCGCGCTCCCGCGGCGCGGCCGGCAGCCAATCGGGCGCTTCCTTTCACTCGCGGGAGGGGGGGGGGGGGGGGGGTGCTGGCGGTGACGTCACGACCAGATGCGTGCGGCGGCCCCGCCCCCGGCGGCTGTCAGCGCGCCACGCGCGGCCGGGCGGGCAGCGCCGCGCTCCGCTCGCCTCTCGCGCCCGCGACGAGACGGCGCCGGCAGCCGCCCGCTCCGCTGCCCGGGACCTCGGGACGGGACGCGACGCGACGCGACGGGACGGGCGGCCTCGTGGCGGAGCGGGGTGTCGATGGCTGCTAGACCAGACTTGGCTTCTACCGGGAGAGCTTCGGAGATAAGGAGAGGGGAAGGTCTGCTTGCCTGAGCGCTTAAAAGGAGAAAAAAAAATAATAAGTGCTTTTTTCCGGTTTGGATTGCTTTTAAAACTTATGAAAAATGGCAACAGCGGCGTACGTGGATCATTTTGCAGCAGAGTGCCTTGTTTCTATGTCCAGCCGTGCTGTTATCCACAGTCCCAAAGGGGAGCCCGGTCCCCAACCTGATGCAGCGATGCCTCCTTCGTCAAACGGAGAAGATGAGTGGGAGGTCAGAGAGACCGGGAAGGACAATGGATCGTCATTACTCGTGGTAGCTAGCATTTTGGCAGACCTGAACCAGCACATCCCCAGCTCACCCGCTCTCAAAATGGAAAAAACAGAGACCTTTGGTATCACAGAACAAATACACATTTCTATCGCTCCTAAGGAGTTTGGGGAAGAAAGCGTGTCTTCGGCTGGTAAGCGTGGAGGAGGAAAAGCAGCCACACCTACTAGCCTGGCTGCAGTAACTGAGCCAAGCCCCAGACAAAAGAACAAACGCGGGAGAAGCTGGACTGACCCCGGATCACCCCAGAAAAAGCACAAATGCCACTATGTGGGGTGTGAAAAAGTTTATGGCAAATCTTCCCATCTTAAAGCTCATCTAAGGACCCACACAGGTTAGTTGCAATCCAGCCAAAGATTTATTTGTTACAGCTCGGTAATTAAGATGTTGAAAAACAAAAACAAACTTGTATTTGGCCACCATTACGGTTTCATCTTTCAGAACTCAAGCTTGGAAAAAAACAAAAGCCCTCTGGGAATAAACCCTTACTGGGCATAGATTCAAAGCTAATGTTGCCTTTTATTACTTAATATCACAGGGAACAGTGCGTGGGTCATCTGTGTGGATCCTACCACACTGTAATTTTTAGTTGTTTTTCTTGTTTGGTTCATCTTTGACTTCCCCTTTACAATGCTTCTTACCTCCCCCATCTACTTTTTCCAACACTGTGCGCCTGTCAGTACCTTTATACCCGCTTATCACTTCCCATACAAGCATCAGTACTCTTAATAGTTTAAAATTAAATGTTTGAGAGGCACCCGAATGACCGTGTTTCTGTTTCTTTCTTTAGAAGGCAATTTTGTGAAGCTAGAGCAGGCAGGAAGGCAGCCGAGAGGCTGAATATGAGTCACAAGGAGATACTGAACATAAATGTAGAGGGACATGGGCAGCTTCCGAAAAAGCTTTTAGCAACTGGGTAAAACTGATTTCAACAACAACAATAACAAAAAAAAAAACAAAAACAAACAAACAAACAAAAAAAAACATTTGAATGCAAACAGTATCTCTTCCTGATTAGTGTTCACTTGCAGGTGAAGTCTCATCTGACTGCTTCTTTGTTGCTATCGTAACTTACCAGACATACACACCTAAAAAAAGTTGAAGTCTTGCGAGCACCATAGAAGTTACTGAAAGAGTTAGGAGTACTAGATTGAAAAAGGCCCCGTGACGTGCCATACTTGGTGCCTCTGCCTTCTGTCGTGGAACAGGACGGCCTACAGCTGCGCAGGGAGCTCCAAAAACCGAGGAGACTGATCTCGGCTGGAGACACTGGTCATAGTATCTATGACAAAGCACCACACAGATGAGAACAAACTTAGGTGAGCTGTCCAACTGAGTTACTTCAGACAACAAATTAGTCGACTAAAATCCGTGATCAGTTTCTGTATAAAGGACGTTAAGGAAAAGATCCTCAGAACTACACCTTACAAATGACTCCTGAACCATCGTAGCTCAGAAGTGGCAGCCTCACCCACACCAAACAAACCTCTTCAAGCGTACCTAGCTTTTCCTGCTGCCTACCTAAGATGAAGGAAGAGCTGTTCTAAGCTGAGGATGTTTGCTTTCTGTGGCAGAGAAGAAAGCCCCATCAAGTTTAAGCATATAGATGGACAATTCCCCATGCGGCGCGGCCGAAGGAACAGCATGTTCCTGGCACCCTAGGCAGCCTGCCCTGCTTTGCGCTCTGCGGCTGTGCCTTGCCTGTTCGGAGTTCATGAGAAAAGGTGCTTGCTCTCAGGGAATTTTCTCCATTGACTTTCAGTTCTTTTGCACTTATTTCTGGCCTTTGCCATTGTCCTAGAAGCAAAAGATAAACTTAGCCGTGTTTCTGGGCTCTCAAACCAACTGGAAGCCACGGCAGGGAACTCCTCTCCCCGATGAAGAGGAGGCTGGGCCACGTCCGCCCTGCAGGGAGAGGAGCGGGGGGAGTCGTGCGCCAGGCTGCCGCTGAGCCGAGTCATTCGAGGACACTGGCTTGCCTCCAGGTTCTCTCAGTTTTTTGTTGTCTGTTTTTTTTAACTCTTCACTTCCTGTATTTTTTCCAGATCGGCAGGGCTTAATTCATTCTTGCTGTAGCTAACGGCGCAGAGGAAGAGAACCATGTGTGTGAGAGCTAGAGAAAAAGCGGGGAAGGGACTGGTTTTGCCCTGGGAGTGGCAGGACCCTCGGGGACTAGAGCTTCTTTGTTTTCTCGTGTCTCCAGTGTCTGTGTGGGAAGCTTTAAACAAAGCTGCCAAGTTTTCCTCCTCGCTGGCAACAGGTCTTTCTCTGTTTGGATTCTGTTTTAAACAGGCTTAAATGCTTCTTACTCATGTTGCAGAATGCTTTCTAGGGTGTTTGTGCTTTTTTGTTGTTATTGTTTTTTAAAGAAGTTGTGACAGGCTTGGAAAAAAGTTAATATGACACTTGGAAAAGCTAACAGAACATGCAGTGACTTCCAGACGGTTTTGTTTGTTTTAACTACAAAACACATAGTGGCTTTTACAGGATTAGAACAAGGGTCTTCGGTCTCCTCTGCTTTCCAGTGTCCATAAACTTACTTGGGTAACGCATACGCATCAGCCTGCCAGGGGTGTCGGATAATGGCTGCCGACCCCACCAGCAGCACACAAATGGTACTTTAAACCTTTCAGGTAAGCTGCTGGAGTGACTCCCTAACCCAGTTACTAAGAACCACTCAAAAACTTCTGCTATGGATTAAAACTTTTTCCATGTGCTGTATGCCTACCCCAGCCAGTAGTTAGGGGCAAACTGAAGAACAGTACTGCAGGCTACAAGATACTGATGATAGTGCTGGAGGTATTTAGATGGTGCAGTTTATGACTTGCTTTAGAAGCTCGCTTGTCGTTGTCTGCTACTGTGCTCACAAATTAAAGATTTTGCTCTTTGTGTTCAGAGCAAGGGCAGACTTTATTTTTGAGGTTGTAGTGTGGCAAAGAGATCCCTAACCTTTCAAGTGTTACTCAGTTAAAGCCAGTCCACATTGGTAGGGACTGCAAGCTGGCAGTGTTTTCTGGCTGTTTGATGGTCCACGTAAAATCTGATTGTTTTAGCCAGATTTTAATGCTCAAATGTGCCAAACATACACAGTAGTCTACAGGATGCTTGTTATCCTATTTCAAGCTGAAGAAACGAGGTGGAACAGCCAAGGAGGCATTATCTGCCTTTTGTCCTTAGCCCATCGCTTGGAGTACAGGGTTTTAGATTGAAGTTCCCTGTTAGATCTGAATGTGCTAGAACAAACTGTAGCGTCCTGTACACTAGCAAGTGAAACTAGCTCAACCTTCGGAATGCTTCTTCTTTACTAACTGAAGACAACCTTGAGCAAGGCAGAAAGTACTGTCAACAAAGTCTCTGGAGCCCTCCCCCCAGCGTACAAACCCTTCCCCTCCCCCTAGGTTTCTTTTCATGTTTATATTTTCCACCCCACCCTCTCACTGGATGTCCTGGAGTTTAACATGATCATCAGCCACAAAGCCCTTGAAGTTTTAATGTTTACCAGAAGGTTATATTTAGTGTCAGTGGGTAATGTCAAGTCCAGATTCTTTTCCACTGAGGTTCCCGTGGACCTCAGAGGCTGTGTTGTGATCCACAAATGCAGCACTCTGGCCCAAGCCGTAGTGATCCCATTGAGGCAAAAATTCCACTGGCTTACCAGTTTTAAAAAAAAAAAAATCCCTCCTGAGAAAACTCAAAATAGAAAGAGCTTTCAGAAAATCAGACAAACCATTTACATGACAAAGTTCTCCTTCCTCTTAAGCTGATTTTCAGTGTGGGCTCACTAAAAAGGTTTGGCAATTCTCTGGAGTCACTGGAAACCAGGTTGTCTCTGATAAACCAGTGGGAAGAAACAGATGGTGCAGAGCCTAATGGCTATCTCAGGCCAGGACCTCACAGAGCACTGTCAGGGCCTGCTGTGTGCTGAGAGGCTACAGGGGGCACCAACTTATTCAATTATACTACATACAAACACATAGGAAAAAAGACTACATTTTGGGCAGGGACCTGAAGAACCCTGTGTATTGCAGCCCTCCCCAAAATCACTGTGACCTCTAAGAGCTTTTAGCAATCTGCATTACACGCAGAGAAAGCACAGAAGAAAGCTTTTAATTCCAGCGAGATTTCTTCCTGAACTTACTAATTCTGCTTGCCGTCCACTACACCACAATGCAAGAGCAAGTTTCCAATTATTAGAATTGAATGTGTTTGTGCTGATTAGCATATGCTAAAGATGTGGCCACCAGTTGCAGTCTGAAATATTGCTGGGAGAGCCTGGCAGTGACACAAACCCATGGGCCAGGTGACTTCACGGTGGCTCCTTTGTGCTGTTGCTTAACTGTCATAGCTGCCTTCGCCGTGGCTGCCCAGGCATAGGAAGAGGAGGTGGCCACCCTGGGCGCATTGTTCTTGCTCACAGATGTCAGGTTAGGGCTTGTTGAGGAGAAAGTGGTCAAGGCTTTCGTTGGTCTCTAGCTGGCAGACTGACTTCGGGCAGTGACATTTTAATTAAACCTGCTTAACCTTGCAGTAGTCCAGCCTGATCTGCCAGAGGCACCAATTCAGGTAACTAGATTGAAGAAGGATGTGTTATTATTTTTATTGAAGAAGGATGTGTTATTAGTATCTATTATTTTTAGTCTAACTTTGATTCATTAAGTATTAACTAAATTTGAATAAGTAGAAGAAATTGACTTATTTCCATTCACTTGCTTATCTTAACTCTCTATAATGACAATTTTAAGGGCAACACTGAGAAACCCATATGAAAAAAAAAAAAGTAACTTAAGGACCCTTTCTTCTCGGTTACTATGTAATTTCCATAAGCAGAATTTTTCTAATGATTTCGTAACAGGGGTATATGAACATGGGGAAATTCATAATATGTTTGGTATTTGAAAGCAACCTTCTGAAATACAATGCAGTCATTCTCACAAGTGTAACAACAGCATAACAACTAGGTTAGAAAAATAAAGTATTTGACCTGTGTTTAGATTGGTAAGGTTTTAAAAAGGAGGATGGTTTTCACTTTCAGTTCTAGCAAATCTGCTTTGTTCTAACTACATTAAAGCACAGCAGCAAAGCACAACTTCTTTGAATCTGGTCCAAATCAAGGTGCCACCTAAGCTCATGTAAAGAAACTGATTGACAGACATTAGGAGAAGCAAGTTCACATGTCAGTGAAATAAATTTCATCGTATATTTTAGCACCTGGCAATTACCAGAAGCTTAGCTGGCTAGCTCAAAATCTGAGCGAGGTTTCCTTTTAGCTTGCCTGTATGCACACAGTGGCTCCAGAAGGGGCGTATGCACATGGGTGGCAGGCAGGCAGTGTTAGTGAAGAACCAGACCTTTACAAGAGAAGGCTGCGAGAAGAGAAACTTGATCTACTGCCTCCTGTGCCACCATGAGCAGCGGAAAACAGGGCTGCAGGTTATGCTTGGGTGTAACAGCAGGAAACGTGTGGGTAGCACTGGTTCAGTCCATCCTCTAAGTTGGCAGCTGGGCTGCTCTGGATGCCAGGAGCAAGCATGGAACTGCCCACACTTTGAACACGACACCAGAAGAAAAGGGTCTTGCCCTTTGAAAGAAGAAAGATCTTTCCCCAATGGTGGTTTCCCACAGGCAGGAGGACTGGCTAAGTGAACACGGTCCTCCCCACGTCACCCTGCAGTCTCAGTTCTAGCAGCTAGGCCTCCTGTTTTTGACTTAGATTAAAAGTTAGGAACGGCTGGCTGGCTAGCTTTGGATGCCTAACTCACTGGCATTGGCATACAGCCAATTTATCAAAAAGCTCCAGGGTACTTCTAAGGCCATCCTGCCCTATAATGCTTTTCTGCTGCCCTCCACCTCTTCTCCTTACTGAGCATGACAAAAACACCTCTCATAGGTTTTTCTTTCAGACTAGAACAAGAAGTAGGTTCAGGACAGTTTCAAATGCTAGCTTTGTAAAACAGTCACCTTTGCAGCCTAACCCATAAATGAGAAGTAGTTCAGTGCCTGTTTCTGCACCTTTTTGAAAGCTGATGTTCTTAAGTGTCTTAATAAGCCCACAGTTTTAAGAACAACACGGAACTGCAAAACACTGCTTTTGTTTTCTGTGAACAAGCTCTGCAACTCCTGAGAATCATTTTAGCTTTTTCTAAGAATGTTTAAACACACCAAAAACGCATAGTTAAAAACATAAAACAACTTCTTAAGCAGTCCTGCCAAAGCCCTCAGCCTAGTACTCAATTTCCAAGAATAAAGTTCCTAGTTAAGAGTATTGATTCTAAGCCAGGATACAGACAGTTTGTGTTTGTTGAAGATAACAAACAGTATATATGCTCTAAATATTTTAGTCTTAGAAATTACTGAAATAGTAAGTACAGGGCACAAAGTTCAGGAAGGAGTAAGCAGGTTTTAAAACTTACATTTTCCAAGATGAACTGAAGTCAGGAAGGCAAAACTGCTGCTGCTCTCTTTTACCTGACTGGTTCAGGACTGAATAATAGAGTTCAATCAACTCAGCTGCAAAAGAGTTAAACTGATTCTGTGGGGAATCCAATTAGCTGACAGTTGTATTTACTACACACTTGAGTAATATTAGATACAAAAGAGCCCTAAATCTCCTGACTGTTATGCAGGTTTTGTGTGAAAGACTTCTATCCTTCTCTTCCCTCCCCCAGTCTTTAATGAAATATTAATCATTCAGTAGTGTCTGAATGATTAATGACAGGACAGGCCTGAAAGCTGTTCTCTTATCTATGAGATATGTATGTTTTGGATAGTTTAGAAGAATCACCAAGAATTAATTTGTACTTGTCTGGTTACCACAACCCAGAGTATAATACAGCACATACCTAAAAAATCAAAAACTATGTACAGCTCTATTTTGCAATGGGAATAAAGATACAAATTCATGGAATTGAAAAACACTGTGTCCTACCATTAGGGTCATACATCCACTGAAGATCAGGTTTTACTAAGAATTTACTCATCATTGTGGAAGTCAGTGACAGCTTTGCATCACTGAAGAACAAAAAACAAATTGAGCAAATATTTCAGAAATCTGGCTCAGAAGGGAAGATTTCTCTGCCAACCTTGTTACAGAAATAAAGCTGTTGCTAATAATTGACAGAGTTTAGGTATTGGAGCCTACAAGCCTTTAAAGCAAAACTCTACATCACATTATTGTAACTGATGGAGAGAGGATCTCCTAAGAAAATCCTCTCTTGTTTTTCCCTCTTTGCCACGATCTTTGAAGTGGGGATAATCAGCATAGCTAAATATTCTCTCTCTCTCTGTAATTTTTCGAAATTTTTCCTTTGCTTTTGCTGGGTGAGTGGAAGAGGAAGATGATAATCTGTGTACAAGACAAAGGAGCATTGCTTTGAATCTGAGGAGGGACACATGGCTGGGTTATCCTGTGTTGAAACACAATCAGAGAAGGAAAATCAACTTTTAATTCCTGCAATTCTTTGGAAATCACGTTTTGCTGAGACAGGTTTTGCTCTGGCAGTGAGTTGCTAATGTGTGTAACCTGTGATCATACATTAGGAGAGCAGAGGGTAATTAACAACAACAAAATCAATCTCAGCTACGGTTTGGCTGTTCCAGTCAGCCTCATTCACAGAATACAGTGATCAGGGACACCTTTTCTACAGGGCACAAACCTCGGATACCTAATGGAAAAACATGCAGAAAGTTCACAGAACTCTTTCCACAAACCATCTTCCTTTTAGCACAGAGGTGCTGGTCTGGTCTAACACAATAACACCTAGTAACATTGGAAGTGGTAATGGTGGATCACCATCCTGCTGCTCTCCTCATCCTGGAAACCTGTAGCTGGCACTTTCCTTCTCAGGAGCAAGTTCTGTCTTACAGATAGCCCAGAGTATACCAGCAAACAGTCTCTTAATGACAGACAGTTGCATGGGATAGGTGTGTTTGTATTAGAAATTAATCTCAGTCTCATAGAAAATGTGTTCTGAATGACCTGTAAATGATTCCTGTGCAGTAGCGTGTACAATGCTTCTCTGCAGGATGCTGGAAAGGGTGTCTATGTGACATGAGTTGTGCATAAACAAATCTTTCACTACACCGGAGTTCATTTGGAACTAAACTCAGTCAGATTTCATCTGAAAAGAAGGTGCCTTTAACTATTTAAAGCACAAGCATTGCACTGTGTTATTGTCTAGCTGAACATGGTTATGGCACGTCCAAGAGCAGAAACCTGGAACTTGTTTATATTGGACTTGAGGTTTCTGGTTCTGTTTTATAACTTAAGCATGTTCCAATTTTTTCCCCGTCCTTCCAAACTTGGATCAGCTGTTTGGAAGTCAGTAGTGACAGAGACAAAAATATTCTACTCTTGCAGAACAGCCTTTAAATGCAAAGTAGCCTTTGAAGGGTCTTCCTGCAGTATTTCTAAAGGTACACATGCATTTTTTCCCTTTGTTACCCACTAGGCTTTTATTAGGTAGATTCACATGGGCAGTGAGATCATTCTCTAGCTGCACGTAGTTTAACAGTAGCTGCACAATATGGCTTTTTATGTGTAAGCACTGAAGTCAGACACATATCCTGTATTTTTCATGTCATGCAGATTCAGCAAGATCTTACATGGCCTCCACTTAATGTAGAAGAAAAGTTTTTGAAAGTGCCATCTTTGTAGCTACTGCTGGAAAAACTACCTCAGAAGCTTTTTTGCAGCCCTAACATAAAAAAACATTTACTTACCAGGAACTTGGCACAAATCAAATGGTAGTGAAGTGAGCGTATCCTTAAATGACCTCTCATGCAAGGGGAGGATTTTCCGTAATCAGTTACAGCATTTTTGTAGTGTTCTCAGGAATTAGAGGCAAAATATTTGTGACCAGCTGTCTTTAATAAGCTACCTTACACTTATTGCACACAATGTGCCTACCAGACTGCTCTCTGCTATTCAGTTACGTGACTTTGGGAACAGAGGCACCTGAAGAGCTTTGTTCCTGCTGTGCACTTCGCAGCTTTCTGTCTGCCTTGGTTCCGCAGCAAGCTAGAGTAACCCAGGGCAGCAAAGACATGAGCAGAATGGGCACATAGCTGTGTAACCTTTACTGTCTTTGACAGTAGTTTTAAAACTGCTCAGGGACAGAAACAGAAATACAAACCACTTGCTTCCACTTGAGTAAGACCACCTGAGGTACAGCAGCCAAAAAGGAGCCGTCGAGCTTCTTCAGCTAACCAGCTGGAAGTAGTTCCACACGGGGAATTTACAATGGAGCCAGCTGAGAAGGGTTAGGACATGGCAGCCTGGTCTGCCTTAAGATGCTTCCTGAAAAAAATTGCTGAAATGGTGAACTATTTGTTAGTAAATCAGAAAAATATTTGTTGATAAATTTGGGTTAAATAAATGAAATTACATTGATAGAAATTTACATGCTATACTGGCGCTTTATAGATTGTTGCAAACCTTGCGGTGTATACTGGGCTTTCCTGAATTCCTGACCTCATAGTGTAGGATTCTCCTATAACAAAAATGAACAGGGATGCTGCTCAAATGTTACTGAACCACTGTCTTAATTCCTCTTGTGTATTGTGGGGGCTTAATGAATTTAAATTCACAATTTCTTCAGCATTAAAAGTTCTTGTTTGTTTTGGCAATATATTTTGGAAGACTAACATGAATTGTATACAGCTTTCTAATGCACACATGTGAAACTAGCAGAGGACTGAAAGCCCCTCTAAGTCAATGGAAATGTCTGTCCAGCACATCTATGTCCATACGAGCAGTTCCGCTAGACTGCTGGCAGATGGCTAATCTTAGTGTATAATAAAAATGGGGGTGTTTGCAAAACATGCTTTTTAAAATTGTGCATGGCCAAAACAAAACCGAGTGTCTTAGGTGCCCCCAAAGAATTACTTATCTGCCAGGCTTCACCCAGTGAGATGTATTTGCATTTGTGCAGGGATGTACAGCCTTCCATTTCCCATGCCTGGAGGTGTTCACTGGGAGCACAGCTGAATCTCATGGGAACATAAAGCCATTCAATATTCATCCCACTGTGGTTACATTCCACAATTTTCTTAGCATCTTATCTGCATGTTTGGATACCACACAAGATCAATAATTACTTCATATATGCTGAAGGAACAGTTTGCAATTTTTCTATGTTTTCCTTCCAGCTTCAGTCAATTTTGTTGTGCTGGGACCTCCCTTCAGGCTGTGGGACAGTACTGTTAATGGCACCACCTCATTGACCAAATCAGCCATGATTTAAGCCTACATCTACTTCTGGGGAGCTGTTTTAATTAACAGGTCTCACTGATGACTTCCAGAGGATGGGATGGCCGAGCAGCCCATCAGTGTTATCCTCGCTGTGCTCACTGAAACAAGCAAAGATTGTACAATGGTTGGCACACCTGATTTACCATGAACCCTGTCCCAGACCTATACAATTGGGAATCATACAGATGACATGTGTTTAGGAACATGATTATCAGACACCTTATTAAGGCAATAATTTATGAAGCTCTCGTTACATAATGCAGAGACAAAACGTGATTGAGAAATAGCTTCTAAACACTGCTTGTTGGAGCACAGATGTTCAGCAGCAGCTTCTAAGGGAAGAAGCAAAGTTTCAGGAGGTCCCCAAAGGGTGGCTTTGTTGTTGTTACTGTTTGTTTTTTGTTTTGTTTTGTTTTGTTTTTTCAATAAAGAACATTTTGTTATTCTGTTTATCAAAGTAGCTTCAGTTTGTGGAATTGACCAACATTTCTGATAAGCAGCTTGGACTAAGCAAACATGCTGTTTCACTGCAAGTATAAACTCTCTCCTGACTCATACTACGAGATTTGAGAGGGTGAACAGCTATACATTTTTAGACTTTATTGCTAACATCATGTATTGGTGAAACCCATGTAGAACTTACCTGGTTTTTGTGCATTTCTGCACATGAAAGTTTTGAGCAGTGCTTCCTCTGCAGAAAACAATTATCACTGACCTTATCAAAGCAAAAGTATTGTATAATGATAAGCTATTTTAAACCTACATCTTGGACTTGGTACTTCCTTTTCTCTGCCCCATCATTTAAAGTGAACTTATTTATGGCTGCTGTTAATTCTTCGAAGCTTTAGGGCTCTATAAAATAGAAAGTAAAGGTCATAGCTCAGCTCTTTCACTATGCTTGACAGGATAACATAATAAGGCTTTGGGTAGTCTCCCCTCTCTCAAGTCTGACATGAAACTTTGCAGTGACACTTTCTGAGGATACATAATCAGTACCCTGCCTTGTGCTGCCAAGCTTAGCATTTGTTGGTGAATTGCAGCCTAATTATTTTGGAGAACCATTACTAGCATATGACACCTGTGTGGAACTCAAGTGTTTATGCTTGCTTGAAGTTCTTCTCTGTCAGAAAGCTCTGCTCTCATGGATGGTGTCCTCATAGACACATCCAGACTATGCTATACACTTCTATATTTGACAAATATATTGTAAAGTGGATGTGATCAGCGCTGCTTGTAACAGATCCTATATATCAGTAAGGGACTCAAATGTTTGCTGTAAGCTACGTTTTTCCAGTGTTAGTATAAGAATTGCTTTCAAAGATGTGCTTTCAAAGATGCTGAGATGAATTTCTTGCAGAAAGATGAGGATACATGTAGTTTTTCTTCATTGCATGCTTTGGATGAACTGAGCTGTACTCTCATTTGGAAGTTATCATTTAACTGTTTTCTCAGCTAAGTAGTTGTCGAGAGGCTGTAGCATTCTCCTGGGTGTTCTGCGAGTTTTGTGGTATTCCCTTTATGAAGAAGTGATTATGCTAGCATGCTTTCCATCTGAGTGCAGTCATTTCAAGTACAAAAACAGTAAGAATTTTTCGTATTTTTCACAGTAAGATTTTCTCATTTGTCTATTATTCACAAAGAGTAACAATCTTAAATTTGAGTTGTAAGAATTTTTCTTTTCAAAAGAAAGTATAGCCAAGTTTCAAAAAATTAACTGAAATTCAAGATCAAAGTATTGTGTACAACACATCATTTGTAGGAATAATAAACTATCCTGTTTGGCACTGTCAAGCTGCAACAGCAATAGTCGGATCACCTGAATTTCCCAAAGCCAACTCAGGGTACAGCATAGCTCGTGCAGTTGCAATTCCTGTTTTCTTTGGTTTTATTTACAGTCAGCCTGTTGCAATAGAACCTCTTGATTACTCAAGTTTATGAACCTCGCAGCTCTGCACATGGCAATTCCTGAATCCCAACCCAAGATCCCTCACAGATGCCTGAGTTGTGCTCAGCAAGAGGTAGGAAAATGGACAGGGAGTCAGGTTCAGATCGTTGTGTAGTTCCCAGTCTTAAAACTAAATTGAACAGGAGTCTAAACAGAAATAAGAGCAAATGGGGACTTCTATAATCTTTTCAAAGTAAAAATTACGTCCTCAAAATAGGGTTTTGGAGCTAGTCTATGGGCTTGTATGTCAGGGATCGCCTGTTCGAATGTCACAATAATAGCTTAAAATAATCTGTATTTACTGTTATATTTCACAGAACTTTTCCATCCAGAAAGCTTCTCCTGAAAACCCCTGGCAATAGTAAACTTGTTTATTTGGCAGAATATTTCATTAGCCCCCCTGCTTTGGGCAAGCAAAGTGTGTTCAACTAATTTGTTGCAGACAGAAAGGGGTGCCATCGCAAGGAGCCAGAAGGCTTCCTTCTCACCCAAATTAGCAGGACTGTTAGAGAAGTAGGCCTGCTAGTGTCTTAAATGAAGAAGCGTAGCAGAGTGTGAATAAATGTACCGGAGGCACTTGTCATTTATGTTTTAGGGAACTTCTACTGCAATGTGTATGCCTGTAGAGCATCTGCATCTCTGTGCTACACGTGACCTGCAGAGCTCAGAACCTCTGCTAAGTGGTCACTCTCACAGTAAAATAGTGAGATAAAAACATCCAAGAGGCTGTTATAGTGCTTATAGAAAAAGTGTTGGCTGCTGGACAAGCCCTTTTAGCATGCTTCCTATATATAAAGCCCCATTCTTTATTGAGACATCACTGATTTTAATGCTAGGCTGTTCTGTACAGGCAAGCAATGAAGACATGAACAAAGCATGCAAGGAAAAGTAGTTACATTTGGCAAAGAAGCTATGTTTGTATATAATTGGAGAAATTTCAAAATAGTAAAGATGTTTCTTGCCGTACTACTTTGAAAAAAGGAATCTAGTTGATTCCTGTATGAAAGTATATGATTAGATGGTTTCTTCAAAAGTAAAGAGAGAAGTTTTCAAAGTTATGTATACCAAGATGCCCTTGACAAAGCTGTCTTTGAAATGTGTCTGTGTTCTGTGTAAAATCTTAGCATTTCAGTTATGTCACGTCATACTCAGATCATTGGCTCCTAACTTGCACTCCTCCACAAACACATCATTCATTCATTTCCAGCACACACCACGGCCTCTCTCCTACGCCCTGATCCCACATCAGAGTCAGCTGGTGAGGCCAGCGTATGACCTTACAACCAGCTGTCCAGCAAAATGATCATAAATATAAATAAATACAACATGGAGAGATTCAGGACCTGAGCTGCACCTAGGCGTGTTACACCGTGGGTGTTAATGCTCGGGAACAGCTCTCTAGCAGTGATGATGGTCTACCACAGCCTCTCCTCTGCTGAACAATGTGCCCCCACCACGTTAACTGTTGATAGCTGACATCTCACAGATGCTGGGTAAAGCTGCTTTGCAGGCCTATCTAAGGAGAAATCCTAAGGAAATCTCATTGGAACATCTTGTTAATAACCATTCATTTCTATTTTGCATAGAATATGGCCAAAGTGGTAACATACGCTTTTGGAAGCAGCTTGAGACCTTGGATAGGAGCCTGATTTTCAGACACCTGAGTATATATACACCTACAAGTTTGTTCCACTGATAATAAACAAACATAGCCAAAATTAAAAGACAACAAAATAATAGATGATTGTTGAAAATCTTCTCTTAGTTATCTTCTGCCTATGTATGAGAATGAGGCCTAGGTGTTTACGCACATACTTGTAGTTTTAAAGAATTAACACACAGAGAAGAGTAAAAAGCAAGATGAAAGTAGAAAGGAGCAAGTAACTTGCTCTTTTTTTTCTTTTAGATTTTTTTTCTTTTATTTTCTTGCTCTTCTTAGAATTTTTTTCTTTTCTTGCTCTTTCTTTTTCTTTCTTTTGGTACAGTTAAAGGAGACTATCAGATGGGGATATGCAAAATAAACAGGAAATAGCGTATATAAATGAGACTTGCAAGAGTTTGTTGTCGAACTGCTTGTCTTTTCTAAAAGGTTGACCTGCTGTAAAAGGGATCACATCAGAACATGAGTACAACTGTTTTCCTAGAATCTGATTCATTTATTAAAAACCAGAATCAGGGCTTAAATGGGAAGTGCGGCTTTACAGTCTGGGAGGAAGATCTTCCGAGGTACATGCAACAGATTTGTGCATACTTTGAACGACAGCTACCTGGTGCCAGGCAGCAGACCTACTGTTTGATTATCAGCCCATAAAACTAATTCCCAGAGCTGCCTGTTTCCTGGAGCTGGATGCTCTATATGGTCATTGGCTGATGCTGCTCATAAACTGCCTTGCACTCAGCACTGCCTTGCACTCTGGCACAACAATCTATCCAGAGTCAGAATAACAATAAAATTCCCACTCCCTTTCTCCTCCATAGAGTTGGAATAAACTTTGAGTATCAGATCATTTCACTCAGCTATAAAGCTGTGTTTATAAGCTCTGAATCAGTGTCACATTTCATGTATGCTGTGTTACTGTGAGGTTGTTGATTAAACAATTTGAAAGTTCATGAAGAGACAATTCACAGTTAGAACCAAAGACAGCCTCACTAACTTTTGTTTGCTTGGCTTCTAGCAAAATAAGATTTCATTCTGTCACCAAGTCCTGGGAAGTGCTGTGCATGTAATGTGTCATAACTCACCCTCGGTGTCTATTCATGCCAAAGACTTCAGCTGGGGGCAGATCACATTCAACATCTTCCAGAATTCAGATAAATAAAGCACACGTCTCAGTTTAGAAGAATAATCCTTTAGTCTGTTATTTTGCATAGCAGGACAACCTTGCATTAATTTGTTAAGCTTTGCTTTTACAAGCACTTTCCTGTTTTTAGTAGAATAGAATAATAAAAAATCATTTATATGTCAACAGAGAAAAGACTGATTCATGGAGTCATATGATTCTTTCTTTACAGTTATTAAAGCAAGTGCTGGGTAACAGCCCAGGGAGCCAAAGTTTCACAATTTCAACATGAATTCATCCACAGTTCATACCAGTTACATATACTTTGTCATTACCTATTCAGTTGCTCTCCCACTTAAAACATTTACATTCCTGTATTAGGGATCAAAAACATTACCATGGACATTTTGAAATGTACCACAAAAATATTTGTGAAGTAAACTTTCATTGAAGGCACTGTTTAAACCACTACAGAGGTAGCTTTGTGCTCATGGTATAGATAGGGATGGTTTGTGACATTTCAATTTGATTTCAAATGTTCTTGCAATACAAGCTTTTTTCATGTTTGAGGCTTGAGGTTTGGTCAGACTTTTCAGTTCTTACTTTCCACAGTGATCAGAACTCAGATACATTAAAATTTAAGACCATCTAATTAAGCTATCAGAAGAACTTTTAATTTTTAGAAGAGCAAGGAATAACCTACACCGCACATTGATGTCTGAGAGAAGCCAGGCCATCCATTGATCAGAAGAAGAGCACAATCTTCTGAGATACTCTGGCAAGAGAATCTCCAAAGAAGCAGCTGATACATTTAGAAGTGAACACACTGCTTTTTTCATGTTTGCCATTTTACCCATGAGTACCTACTGCTTAATTCTGCTACGTGTAATTTTTCTGCATGACAGACTATGTGGTTGAGAATGAAGAGCTTGACAGCTATCCTGTCTGCTCTGTCGGTACATAATCCTGCCTTCCAAAAGGAGGTAGCACAGATTGGAAGAAGGTAAGGAAGTGCCCTTCTGTAGTGAGCACAGGATCTTCCCCCCCCACACTGTAAGAGTGGGCTGGAGAGAGAGAGGGTGCCAGGGACCATAATAATTGTAAGAGCTCCCATGGAACTACTAACAGTCAGATGTCTGGAGCTCTTTGGAGTTTGCAGAGTGGACTGGTAATGACTGAGCAATTCTGAGGCAGAAGAGGAAAGATCCAGACAGCCATTTGTAATGGAAACCTCGTGTTTCTGTTGGTACCTTAATACACATTCCCTGTAGACACATTTGGTTCAGTTGTGTCAGCTGTGGGTCTGATTTTTTTTCCCCTTCCTGGAGGAGGGAGAATCAAGGCTGGGGAGTTTCCTTTTTGGCTTCAATTGCTGTCTGCATAACATTTTCATTAATCACCTTATTTGCTCTAACGAATCATAGCAGCTGAAATCATCAGCTTGTAGCATACAACAACACAGCACACTGGCATGCTGAGACAAAAGAAACATGGACTGTAAATGAATAAACAAGATCTCAGTCCAGCATATATTTTCACCAGGGTTCGTGTTAATACTGTACTTTTCCAATTTTACCTGGATTCTTTTGATAAAAACAGTGTTGAGTATTACACATACTTGGAGAGCCCTCCTCCAGTGCCTTGTCACTTTAAGAGGCTTGAATTGGCTCAGCATGTCTGAAAAAGAGGAACAAAATCCCACAATACCTTTATTGATGTTTATCCCTGTACACTGTAAGAGGCCAGATTTCTCTGACCTATGCTGAAGTCACAAGCTTTTTTACCTAAGGAATGAAGAGAGCCCCTTGCTCAACAAGTTGTTGGCTCGAGGCAGGGATTCTAGTCTGAAATTCCTTTGTCAGGGTGATGCGGTAGGTCAGATCTGCTGATTAGCACTTACAGTTTTTGTTTTTGCAGCCCCAGTATTCTTTTGAAATATATTTATTAAAAAGTATAATTGACCATTAGAAAAGGAAAAAAAATCCCCATCTTTTGGTTTTGTCATTCTGTAATAGCCAGATGTGTTTAAAAGCTCTACTTACACTGTTTCTTCTTATTGTTTTCTATTCACAACAGAGGGTTTAATATTCACTTGACATTCTTACTTTCATAGAATGGAATAGAACAACAAATCAGAAGAAGATAGCAGTTAAAGGGCTGCTCTACTAGTCCCAAGAGGCTCCTACTGTGCGAGGAGACTGATACTTCAGTGTGGTTTGGAAATGATATAGCGAAGACACATCTTACTCTCCCCCTAGTATTCATCATTTCAGCGTAACACAGTTTAATTATCCTGCATTTAAGTGCAAAGTCAAAGGGTCAGCTATTGATCTTCATCCTTGGAACAAGCCACAGGAGAGAGAAAATCAAGTGGAAGTTGCTGTGCTTTTAAGTTAGTGACATTTCAGCTGTTTCACTGAGCACTGGTCAAGTATTTGATGCCTCAGAGATAAGAAAATAGTACGAGTTTTAGGCTTACTGAACAGAAATTGCATACAGCAATTACAGGGACCTAACTTTCATACAAAAAGCAATGCTTGGTAGATCACATTGTTTTAGAATATAAGCTCTTTGGCACTGAGGCGGCTGCCTTTCATTTCCCGAGAGTTAGCCCTGTCATTGGCACTCCATAAAGAGCACTGTTACCCAGAGATTCCAGCAGCAGAGGGGAACAAACCTGCTTTTATAATAGGGTGCTGCAGACGTCCATGTAAACAAAGCCATGGGGCTTAAAGGAAACACGACTGATAGCAGCTATTCCTGTGGGCAGGGGAGGTCTGTTCTGGTCTGCGTGCTTACCTCTACACGTGGAAGTTCACCCTGCTAGGTAGGATAAGAAGTTTCCTTCCTCGTGGGTATCCGAATGGCTCAGATGTCCCTCTTTGCTTAGGTGGGAGGTATCCGCTTTGCTTGCATATCAGAACTTTGGGGAAAGAGAGTGAAATGGTGAATGTAAAGCTTGAATTAGGATAGAAGCAACAGAAGAGCAGCATTAGATAACAACAATGAATCCATATAGAACTGTAAGAACTTTTATAGCTTATCTTTGAAATTGCATGCATTGTAAACACCATCTCATAACCGTGTAACAGCATTACTAGCATGTTTGTTTCCTCCGGCTGCTGGATTATCACCCTTGTAAGAGGTAGCTGAAGTTTTGAGAAGTCACAGTTGTATAGACTAAGAGATAGCGAAGTACACTTCAAGTGCAGTGCATTTAATGTGTATATACTGTCCGTGCGATCACATCAGAAGATCACAGCAAGTATGCCAGAAAAGAGTTGAGAGAAGTATTACGCATGTAGGTTTAGACAAGACCATCTAGGTATACAGCAGTATCACAGTTGCCACTGCTAAGTTGGGCATTATTTTCGCTGGCCATCAGAAGGGAGCCTTACCTGTAACATCATTCATTATACTGCTGTGAGGAGAACACATACATGTGTGTCTCTTTCATACCTGCCGTGGCTAACCATAGCACTATGGTTACCATATGGTTAACCATAGCACTCAAACTATTAATAACCAAACTAATATCCTAAAAGAACTGGTCTCACTGCATCTGGATATGATCAGTAACTCCCCCAGAAACACTTTGCTAAGAACATCAGAAACAGTAAAGATGGAGAGGAAAATACATCCTGGCCTTTAAGCATACAAAGTACTGCCCTACCCAGGACCGGGGAATGGAAGCGATGGCAGCTAGTTTTGGTCACTGACCTAGGCTGGAAAGGATTTGTCCTTCCATCTCTAGGATGTGTTGTGAAGCCAGGTGGCATTGCTAGCAGCAAATTAGCATGTACTAAAAACATAGTTCTTGTAGAGGAGGCCAGGGGCGTACTTTGCCACCACCTACTCTGATTTCACTATAAGGCCACAAAATTTCACCTGCAAGCCCTTTCCTTTTGTCTCTTTCCTGCTTTTCTGTTACTTTCCCATACCTTTTAACCATTCCACTTTTCAGACTAGGGAGGAAAAAGATGACTGGAATGGTGACATTTGTCTGACACCATCTTTTACTGTCATCTATTTTTCTCTAGTTTGCAACTTATTATTTATAGCCTGAGACACAATACAGCTGAGACTAAAGAAAAGCAATACATAAATCACTATTTTATAAACAAGAGTGTTCTCACCAAGCTTAGGCACGATGCAAATGAAGATATGGATTACAGAATCATTAGTTGCTTGGAGAGGCCAGCAAGTAACCTCATTGTATTTGAAAGAAACAGCTTGGCATTTTAGGCAAGCAAGACTGTCACGGAACAGCATAGCCTTCCTGTGAAACCATGTCATGCAGAGTGCTGATGCGGATGAGCTGAATAGGTTACATAGTATATATTGTTTAAATAGATAAATGATGGTGACATTACAACCTTGCTCTTTGTCAGCTGATCAGAATATTTAAAGTTATCACCTGTGTCTTACTGTTAGCAGTTACTTACAAAGAGATGAGAGAATCAGCTATTAAATAGCATTAAATACATGTATTTTCATGGAAACACAGCAGTAAAGAGATTATTTAGAGCTATCTTGCTAAATTTTAGCCCTGTAGATACCAACAAGAATATTGTTTCTTTACCTTCTTGTCGTGGCTGCTAGCAGTTTTATGATGGGAAGCTGGGAAAGACCACAAAGACAAGGATGCTCTCATCACCCTTCACTAAAAGAACTCCATTCATTTTGCTGGTAGTTGAAGGTAGCCTGTGACCCTTGGTTAGAAGAATGCTGAAGAATCTCTAAACCATAGGAGAGTTGCAAAAATTAGACATATACCCATCCCTCACTTTCCCTTTCTCGGCTTTTAGTTTCTGAGTTGTCTTTCTGCAGGCTTTTCTGTCCCACTAGGTTCTACTGATGCAACAAATTGAGTTGGCAGATGCACACATTCTTACCTAAGCGGTGACCGTATGACAGAGTACATGAATTATTCAGAAAATTATAAAAGCACCTTTGGTTCAATGCTTTATTCAGCTTATGCAGCCTTTTTGCTGAAGTAGCTTATAACACGTCTGCTACTCCTAATAGTATGCATGCCAAGGATCGTTTACGTACCTAGACCGCATCATGAAAGGACTTTTCTTGAATGCTGAACTCACCTTAGTGATTTTGCTCTTGATTTTGTTGCAAGAGAAAAACTCTTCAATAAATTTACCAGAACAAGTGTAACTATGTTTACACAGTCCCAGTTTTGACATACTCTGTGTAACTGAATTCAGAGCTTCACAAGCCACTAGCATAGTGCAACTGATTTGTTCTGTACTTCGAAAGAGGAAGGAAGATACAAGGTAGGGAGGGGTTGTGTGAGGAAGGGAGGAGAGAGAAAGTGTGAACTCTTCTGAAACCAGGAACTGAGAAGCTGCAGAGGAGAAAGACTAATATTAGAGATAACAAGTACTATGTGTCTTGGTACAAAGGTGCAGTAAAACCTATAGCATCAAACTCTCAGTACCCAGGTCTGCAGACGTAGATGTGAATTTCTAAGTATGGAATTCCAGAAGGGGATTTGATGACCTTTATGTGGGAAAGAATTGAATTTCTCAGTTACCCAACAGGATTTCCCAATTTTTTGAGTACTCTCTAGCAGAGAGAGAAAAAGAGACTGAGGCTACTTAACTATATTTTATATCACATAATTGCCTCTGCCCCCAGTTCATCAACTGTGTGGGAGGGGAATGATTATTTGCAGCCACATAGTGAGACTCCATAGGGCACACTTTAGAAGGCAAGGGGGAGATGAGAAATTTTAGGACCTCGTGCCCCTAGACGTTATAGGGGACTGCAGTCTCTTATACAGGGAGAGGCTGAGAGAGGGCTGGGCCTGTTTAGCTCAGAGAAGAGAAAACAGAGGGGATCTGATCAATGTATGCAAATATCCAAAGGGAGGGTGTCAAGAGGATGGGGCTGGACTCTTTCCAGCGGTGCTCAGCGACAAGATGAGAGGCAGCGGGCACAAACCAAAACACGGGAAGTTCTGGCTGAATATGAGGAAACATTTCTTTACTGTGTGGGTGACAGAGAACAGGCACAGGTTGCCCAGAGAGGTTGTGGAGTCTCCTTCTTTGGAGATACTCAAAACCCACCTGGATGTGATCCTGTGCAACATGCGCTAGGTGACTCTGCTTGGCAAGAGGATTGGACCAGATGATCTCCAGAGGTCCCTTCCATCTTCAACCGTTCTGTGATTCTGTGACGCAAGTGCTGATTATTTATTTTTTTTGAGTACACAAATCCTGGAGGAAAGTCCTGCTGTAGATGTGCAAAGGTATTATTTTGTAGTGTAAACATTACTAACCAACAGTTTCCAAAACAGCTCAGCAACACAAATGCACAAAGAAACCAAAGAAGCTTATCATGATGCTGGAAAATAAGTGTTATGTACCTACAGTGTAGGGAATCACCTAAGACTCACAGACCACACTACAGTGCTGGGGGCATATTCTCTGCCACATTCTCAGCATAGATCTAAAATCCACTCCAAGACTTCTTTGTGAAGGTAAGGATAAATTTCATTGTTCTTACACTTAAGTTGTTAGCCTGTCCCGGCTGTCTGTCTTGAAGAATCCCTTGTGCTTATAAACACAGGGAGCCCAGTGGAAGTTGAAAACACAAATGAAATTGTTCTCTTTTGATATAGATACTCAGAGCTCCAGTTGGGGAATGGAGATAAAATATCTGACAATAAAAATGTGTGTGTGTATATATATATGTATATATATACACACATACGTATACATATATATATATATCTATATATAAAATTTGTGGCCAATTTATTTTTAAAACCATTTTGCTTTAGGATTTATTTTCCAGATGTTGGACTTTAACATGCAGCTACTTGCTGATTGTGTGCATGAAGTGGTCTGGAATTAGGCTGTAGCTGGGAGTGGAACAGAGAGCTTCATGTACTGACCACAGAGTGATACACTTCAGCAGATACAACGCAAGAACTAAACAGGATTTAAACAGAAGTTACCATGTTAGGCAGAAAATGACTTGTTAAGGAGAAGTTCAAATTCATATTCTTAATTCAAACAAAATGCAGGAAAAAGTAATTTTTTAAAAAAGTAATTATTTAAAAAGTGCTAAGCATTCAGGAACTCAGACAGCACAGTCCATCTTGGGCATCCACCTTGAAGAGGGATCCAATAAAGTCAAGGAATGCATATTTTAGAAAACAGAAAGAGTGTGATGGAGCATCCTGGAAAAGAAAAGCCTAAAAAGGCTAGGGTTATTCTGCCTTGACAAAAGAGAATGCAAATGTGTCTGATGAACATGCAGTACAGTAAAATAGCTAAAATTATTATGAACTGAGATTTAAGATCTGGCCGACACTATTGAGCAAGCTTGAAATAAAGGCCTGGAATGCAACTGATAATAGAATGTAATATGTAATTAAAAAAAAAAAATGCTTTCCATTGTGGTTAGAAGTGTAACTGGTGATATTTTAAAGAAGGATCAGATAGCTGCATGGAACATCAGTTATTTTGGTTCTTGGATGGATCTGACTGTGGTTGAGGTTAGGATAAGAATTTTGCACTACTTACATTTCTCTGTCCTTGGAGCCATTGCCATTGTAGTATCTGAATGCATGTTCATCATTTTGTTTTGGATTGTTCTAGTTAGCTGTGTTGATAAAGGTAAGTCACAGGGTGTAATCTGTGCTCCTGGATGGAATTACACGAGCACTTTGAGAGCAAAGTAACAGACGTTAATGTAAAATGTAAACTTGCTGCTATGAATTTCCCCTTTCAAGAAATATTCACATATGTCTAAACAACTCAACAAAAATGTTACGACAGAGAAAATAAATCAAGGATTTAAATGATGGTACGGTAGCTGGTGCTGCTCCTGCCCAGTAGCAGCAGTTCCACGTGCACTCAGAATACAAAGAGCCAGTAACCTACTGATTTAATGACTGTGTTTTTAAGATTAAAATAAAGATGCCCACACCGTAAAGTGAGTTTGTACTAGATGCCTGGGTACATGCCTGCTAGAAACCTGAGAATTCCAGTTCCTTAAAAAAAAACATCACACCACAGATGATAGAAATAGCAGGGACACGCACACTTCTGTCATGCATCCTACCTAGCTCCTTGGCGCTCTGTCTCCTAGGCCTGGGGCAAGCCGTATGTCCCAGTGCCTAGTAACATGTCAACTTCAATTGTGGATTTGGGCATTTGTAACACTCCCCCATATTGGGCTTCTGGTTTCTAATGATAGTCAAATTCACCCTGTAAAAGAAGTAATGTTTTCACTGAGAACAGTACTTGAACCTCCTAATTTTCATGGAATTAATAGAGCTTAATACTGCTGAATTTGCTACTTCTGTCAGATTTGGTTGAAGTTAGCAAAGACATTTAAAAGCTGTTGGACAGAAACACAAAAGCAGATGCAAAAAACAGGATTGCATTTGGCTTGTTTGCTTATGAAATAAGTCTTCACCAGAATCATGAATTTAAAACTGCTTCGTTTTAGTTTATAGGAATTCAGAAATTTGAGACTTCAGATATTTTTTTTTTTGGGTTCCTTTTTCAACAGTAGATAAAGAAACTACCGTTTGTCTAACATCAAAGCTATGTTAATCTCTTTCTTGCACTCAGAAGGTTAAAGGCTTGTTTTTCAGATATCCAAAAGTGCTTGTTTATAAGCAAGAGAATAACATAAATGAAAATATTCATAAATACATCAGTGCTATTGAAGGATGGCTTTTTTTTTTTTTTTTAATAACAGCCATTCTTAAGGAACACAGACTTCTTGGCTGAATGTTTTTTTCCCAGGATAGCATTTCCTTTCTTGGAGGAAGAGTGCTTCAGTTGCACATCTATTTAACTGTCTGCTCTTCATCCTCCCCACCCAGCCTGGTCATCGTTTCCAAATATACCCTTAATTGTGCATATAAAAATGTAGAAATGTAAGAATAGCACACAGTGGCATGTGCAGTTTTCTCATCTGTTTTCATGACAACATAGAATTCTGTTCCGTGAAGCAGCAGAACAGAGAAAGATCACAGAGCAATTTGTTTCTGGCTTACTGTTTCTGGTTTTGCAGTCACTCTTAGAAGTCCCAGGATACAAAGAATTTCTTTGTTACTTCATGGCCTTGGCATATGCTTGAAGATGCTAACGTAATGTGCAAAGCTACTACTTAAGATAAATTGAGAAGATAGCCACCAGTAAGTGGTTAGACTTACTAGCGTTTTATTCCGTAGGGCAGCAGATACCACATTTCCAATTGTTCCGATACTATTTCCTAATCTTCACACTGTACTTCTGAAACTAGTTTGTATCCCAAGTCTCACAACCTGCTTTGGTATTTCAGTGATTTGTAGGTTATTTTTTAAGCGTGCTTAGACCTACACAGTACTTAGTATCATTTTTAGTTGTCGTTCAAATGCTGGATACCACGCAGATGAGCTAGTGAAACAGAAAGCACATTACTCCAGGGACTGCATAGGAGTGTCACTGTACAGGAAGGGAGGCCTCAAAACATGTGGGTCAGAGTAAAGTCATCAGTGCCCTAAAAGGACAGGGCGAATCAAGCTCGGAACACATCAGATCTGGTTCCACCATCTCTGTAGTTCCACCATTTTTCCCATAACTACATATAGTTGTCTCAATATAAATAACATTCAACAAATACAGAATAATACAGAGGACCTTTATATAACATTGTAAGAACAGATTGGCTCTGCTGGCTTCTGAATTCTTTCCAGCAAGAGAGAAGAGAGGCATTTTTAATGCTGCTTCTACGGTCTGGTTAACTCTGTGGTGCCTCTGGCACTGGGCTCTGGCAGACGATGCAATCAGCAGGAGCACCCAGGGCTGTGCCACTGAAACGAATTCAGGACTCGGTGCACCTGCAGATCTCACTTAGTCTTACTCAGTGAGCACTTTGAGTTTCTTAATGCAGTTCTGTGCATATTTTTTTCTTTTGAACTGGGTGGAGTTCAGGAAGAAGCCAAAAATGTTCTTGCTTGTGTAATTTCCAGTTAAGATCAGTTGATTTTGATTCTCAAGTGTGATGTTTTTCCATTAGGTTGTATAACTAAACACAACATATATGATGTCATGTGCTCTGGCAGAGGATCTGGAAAGGTTGCAGTTCATGGGGATTTAGAACATGGAAATCCAAAGCTATTTAAAATTGGGAAAAATAAGAGTATTTATTAGAATATTCATTATCTTTGAAAGGCATCTCTTGTCAGTCTCTGAAGAGTAAAGAAGCCTTAGTTTATTTTGCTCCCTTTCTTTTCAAGCATAACATTTTATCTTTTGAAGACTTACGTCTTTGAGAACTGCTACTAATACTCAAAAAGCATACAAATATTCTGTGGCCAGGACATAGCATTAAGAATCTCAATATACACATTGGCACGCTTGACATGTTCACTGCAGTATTTAAGACTCATTTATTTATTTTAACATTTTGCCATTAATTTATAGGATCGAATTCTGTAGTCATTCTAGAATGACAAAGTTCTGAGTACAACATGTCCGTGAGTTAGTGCTTATGCAAGGAAGTTGTACTCTGACTGCGTGTTCCCTAATGAGATTAGGCAATCGATTCTTACAATCTCTTATTCTGTTGATTGCTTTACTGCCAGTAAAAGGACATTTATATAACTTAACCTGCACAGAAAACCACATCCCTTCTGTTAGAGAGAAGAGACTGATGACAGACTGATTTTGGAGCAGTAGCTAGGTCTTGTCTTAATTAATACCCCGCAGCAAGTTCGTTCCAGACCGTGTGCTCATTTTTTATGAACAATAATGACTCTCCCATCTTCACACGAGACATTCAGCATTTCCTGACAATACGGCTGTTCTTTGAGAAGCTGTTGCTAAACCTCACCAAAGGTGGGAAGCACTCTAGAGAACTCATTGCCACCACCAGAGTGATGCCAGCTGTCAGGCAGTGCAGTGAAGGGAAAGTTGCTTGGCCAAGAAATTCAAAGGCAACTCCAAGAAGATATAGACTAGAGAGGGCTGAGGGGGAAAAAATATTTCCTTGGAAGGAGGAGAACAGAAAAGAGTAGAAAACTAGTGTAAGAAAGGCACAGTGCCTCATTGTCTTTGGCTCAGAACCCAAATCATCACCACCACCGTCACAAATATCAAATCAGACGGATGAGTATGAACATGAATGTTCCCAGCCAGATCTGATGAGCAGTGAGGAGAGGGGGAGACAGATTGTGCAATATCTTCATCAACTCCCTGGTAGTGCTGGATAACGCAGTTATTACATAATCCTGCTCCAGAACCTCTTCCCTCATTAGGAACTGAACTGCTAGGCCTATTTCTGGCTAACAAATGCTAGATGTTTTTAAGAACACTGATGCCATGCCAGCTGATCAGCAGAAAGGGACTTTATCATGCTTCATGATGTTGTGGACAGCAGAAGCAAAACACTGCATCTTAACCCTTGCCTTCCTTGTCTGAAAGCAGACATCACATAGGGCAGTCCTTCTAGTGAAGAACGTTTACTGATTTTGTTTGCAATGAAAACACGGAGAAAATTAACTTAGGCAACAAAAACGTCCAAAGACCACTGCCTTACCAAAAGAGATGCCATTGCTCAGGGATGAGAAACTTCAAACCTGCAGGCCAGAGCCAGCAGGCAGACCATGTCTCATTGCCCTTCTTGCCAAGGATCCCAAAGTCCTCCCCCTGTCATAGAAGTGTATCTGTTGTATGACCAAAACACAGGGAGAAGACTGATGTATCCGGTGGTGCAACAGACTAGCACATCCCACCATAGGCAGGAGCATATCCAGCAGATGACTAGATACATGACAAACAGCCAAATTATATTTGCTTCCCATGTTTCATATTTCCATCAGCAGAACAAGAGAGGAGTCCCTGACAGTTTGCAGGAGAAGGCTCAGGAGGACACCGAATGGATTTACATGTTTTTTAAGCAACAAAACTATGTCCATTAAACCAGTTGGTGGAGTTTTTATTCTCCATAAAGTTTGTGGGGACCTAGGTTTTTAAACTTTAGTTCAAGGGAAGCAAACTGGAAGCAGTCCCGTTCATGTTAGCTGCCTTTTTCCCCTTCTCAGGCTGCACAGCTGCTACAGTGCCCAGCTGTAGACCTGCAGCACTGCTGTGCGTGGGTACCCGGTCCCATGGGAGATGGTTCCAGTGCCTGAGGTCTGCTGAGAAGTGCATCAGGTCACCCGACTGATATTTATTTGAGCTCACTGGGTCACTGGTCCTACTCCAAGCATCACAGGTCATGGTTTTTAGGATAGCTATTGACAGCAGTTGGTTCCCTTCAAAGCGGCACGTTTACCTAGTAGAGATAATGTGCTACCTGCCTCCCACCTAAACGAGACCTAAGGCAGCGAACAAGAAAAAATATTGTACCTTGCAGCAAATACAGAAAACACAGGAGGATACAAGGTGAGAGCCTCACATTCAGTGCCTCAGAATTGCTGTCCTGTATTTTCACTGTAATTGTTTTTAAGTAGCTGTAGAGAGAGGCTTCATCACACCTTCTGAATTTTTACAGCGAGTCAGACAGGCATAGGGACAGCTCGGAACTGAATATCCTAGAGAGCTCAATACAGATACAAAGTCCAGAAATAAAATCCAGCAGCCTACCAGAGATATGGAATGTGACGTCCCTGAAAGGATCAGAATCCCTGAAGATCCAGTTATTAAACAAGGTATCAATCGTTTGTCTCCAGCGCTTTTTAAAATGTTGGAACCCCACAGTGGCCTCCCTCTGCGGTGGAGAACGCCTCCACCTCCATCCATGTAGTGCTCAGTAGCATCTGCCTCACACCCAGCCTTTCTGTTCTAACTGCTCCATGTGAAAACCATGGATAACACTGCTGTGTCTCTTCTAATTATGCCATGTTCAATCCCTGCAGGTGAGCGGCCTTTCGAATGCAGCTGGCAAGAATGCAACAAGAAGTTTGCTCGCTCTGACGAGCTGGCGCGCCATTACCGCACTCACACTGGAGAAAAGAAGTTCGGTTGCCCACTCTGTGAGAAACGCTTCATGCGCAGTGACCATCTGACAAAGCATGCCCGTCGCCACGCCAATTTCCACCCAAGCATGCTCAAGAGGCGAAGTGGAAGCAATTCAAGAACAGGGTCTGTCAGTGACTACAGCCGCTCAGATGCCTCAAGTCCTACAATTAGCCCTGCCAGTTCCCCGTAGACCTACCTGCACTGGATGTCAGCACTTTGCCTCTAATACTTAATGTGGAGTTTTGTTTGTGTTGCACATGTTCTAAAAACTCTGTCACTTCCCCTCCTCAATTTGTCCCTGCCCCTCACCTCTTTTTTTTTTTTTTTTTTTTTTTTTTAATCAGTAAATAGCTGCCTCCCACTGCAATTTTCAGTCAGATTTTCTTTACCCAACCACACGAGTGGCCATTCTAACCTCATGGACAGATGGATTTACATGTTCTACTTAGTGACTCCTGCTGTCTCAGTATCCCATACATTTTACAACCATAACATATCCTCATGATTATTCTTTATAAGAAAATGAGAAAATCTAAAAAAGAAAAAAAAAATCACCTCAGGTGTCAAAGTAGTTTTGTAAGATCAGATTGCACAACATGAGCATACATACACTTAGAAATCAACTGTGTTGGATTGTGTCCCCCTTCTCCTTTCTCAGGGATGGATATTTATGTTACACAATAACTACAATGAAGACACACCCTAACCGCAGCCTTATTATGTAAATATATTTGCACTCAGAAGCTTTTTGTTGGGTTCTTTCACACACTGGGGAAAAAATAAAAAACAAACAATACAAAAACCAAACCAGTACTGGAATATAGTACCAGACTCTTCCATTGTTTGTTTTCCTGGTTATACATCTACATTTGGGAGCACCCAGAGAGGAGTTTTCTTTCTTCAAACTGCCCTCTGCTTTTGGTAGCAAGTCACCTTTTTGCTTCACGCTGAAGATGCTCCGAAACCAACTATTCCAAAAATCTTTGTGAAGTTGATAAACTACTACTTTTTGTTTTATACCAGATAAAATTCTGAGAAAAAAATCTAAACACGATGCCTTAAGTAAATAACCTAAATCATGAGGAAACACATTTACACTGGGTAACACTGTATTGCAAGTGGCATGGAATCTCAGAGGCATTCTGTCTTCTCTCTCTCGCCAAGTCATTAAGCTATCTGCGCTGCCTGCTCAGTATGGGACCAACAGAATACTCAAACCAAACCACATTGACTTGAACAATTTTCTTTATCCTTTCCTTTTTCTTTTTTTTTTTTTTTTTAATGAACTATGGAAATAGCATAACTGAACCAATGCCCATCAAAATTTTTATCGAGGTACTTACCTACTGTACAGCTGTATGTTAGCAAGACAAATTGCTTAAGACAGTCTCTGTATCCTGTTGCATCACAGACATGGTCTGATAAAAGGAAGCAAAAATCATAAGGTATCTTCTGACTAGAATAAATACGCATTTTTAAGTGTTACAAAAAAATGGCATTTTAGCTCAGCAGTCCTTCAAGTTTTGCAAAAAGACACATACCAGCATAAAGAAAGGATCTCCCATTTCTGAATAACTGCCTAAAAACAGAAAGGGAATCTTGGCTGTTTTTCAATAATTTTCAAATATTGGGCATAAGATAAAGCACTAGAAAGTAGATCTTAGTAGATCTTTATGTTTTATATGGTAAAAAACAGCAAAAGACCAGAGCATTGTGATGTACTAGAGACTTCACTAGCAGCAAATATGCTTTCCTTGTTATGGCTGGCTCTGATGGTGCATATTATAAATTCAGGTCCTTTCGATTCTGGAATTTGGGGGAGGGGGGTGTTCTTGTTTTTACTGTAAAGTCTAAATTCAGTTAAGTGTAGCATGGTGAAAGAAAACTCTATATGCCAAATGTGCCATTTGATATCAAATTAATGCATCTGCATTCCAAATGAACTTGTATCATAATTGCTGCTTTGCATTGATAACAATTTCGCAAGTTTTTTTTTGTACTGTATATTAACTGTGAGAGGCTAACATAGAATCCTGAGTTGTTTCATGGGTACTTCCATAATATTTACTTTATTCCTAACTATATAGTTGTATGCATCAATACTTGCAGACAGTTAAAGTGCAGATATTTCAGTATTTTCTCATGTTCATTTACTTCAGATTCCACCTCTAGAAAACCACATTTTCCCCTTCTGAATTGGAAGTCATGCTAGGCACAATTCTACTGCTACATTTACAAAAAATGAAGTAATATTGCAGTTTTCTTTTTTGCTGCAAGAAGACAAGCATTGCTGAATTTGTGTGGCAAGTTGCCTAACCACTGCATAGTAGGGGAAAGCCAGATATGTTTACTTCCATAAGTTTATTTTCTTTTTTGAAATCTCATCTACTGAGATAAAAAATGGTGACAACTTTATGCTATTCAGGTAAGAGGAATTCACATTCCAATCATTTCTGTGACTGATCAAAGTGTTCTTGTGCTGTAGTTAGGAAAGAGGCAATTAAGATACCCAGCTAAAGGAATTTTACAGGTCAGCTGTGCCTTGTGCACATACTTCAAGTCATAAGCACATTTGTCATTATCATTACACCTTAATAGAGGGATAAGGGGGTGGAGGGGACACTAATATCAGCAGTAATCATAGGTTTTGTGTTTTGTTCTCAGTTTGGTGTAAAATCACCTTCTCCAGCAAGACCATCATTTAATCTGTAGCAAGGGAAGAACCACTCCAGTCCATCCATTTAGAGCATAATATTCACCACGAATCAGTAGATACATTACAATTTTATTTTTTTTTTAAGCCTAGAGAAAGCCATTCCTACCATGTTTTATTAGTACTAGGATTATGGGGACATAAAGGTTATGCAATAACCTATTCTGAGACAAGAACTAGTTAATCTTTAACTCAAGCAGTAAACTAAAGCATTTTATGCATTTTCCTCATAGAGATTACTAATGATTCTCCAAGGCTTTGTGGGGCAAAAACGACTGGGTCAAAGCTGAATTTCCAGTTCAGCCAATTCATCTAATAAAAAGGCTGGGAGACTACATATAAGCCAACATAGCTATGCTTTCAGGAAGTTCTCTGAAATTTGCCTTTTTTTTTTTTTTAATATTTTTTTTTGACATCTCAGCTGTAGGCACCTCAGAGTCTGTTAGGCTGACAGTCAAATTACCAAGTTTTAAAATCCTAGCTAGAGCTTCAGATCTCTCCATTAAATGTTAAATAAATGATAGCTCTATGATCCAAAGATGAAGTCCAAACCACTAGTAGTTTTCACAAGTGAATGTGAAGAAAACTTCTCTCAGCATTCTGATATGGTAAACCAGCATTTGGGGGTTTCTAGCATCTTCTGGGAAGCAGAAACAGCAGTAAGGTCATAAGACTATTCACATGATTGCTTCTCCTAAATTTTACAGATATGAGAAGTCTGAACAGCTCAGATTATATTTTGAAATCTGGTTACTTACCCAAACTAACATCAGATTTTTACCGTTCTGTTGTTTCGCCCAGTTGTGTGGCCTAATCCAATCTTCTGGTTTAGCAGCAGGCACGACACCTGCAGGAAATAATTGCTCTGGCAAGGTGCAAATCTTTTCATAGGTCTCCTAATTTGCCCATGTAATCTGTTGAGGTGGGTCCCCACAAACTACAAACTTGCTTTATTTTATTTTTCCTTTTGATTTCAGAGCACAGTAGCAGGTTTATTAATATTAAGAAAGCTCTGAAAGTTTGCTTTTTTCAAGCCATGATTCTAGCTTCCTCTCAGAGTTGAGCTGAATTACCTTGCCGTAGAAAAAGGGTGCAAATTAAAGTCATCGCCTTGCTACTATCATTCAGTTGAAACTATAGATGCTCACAATCTCTCCAAACTGTCAACTCAGATCTTTGCACTGGGTCAAGTTGTTAATTGTAGTACATGAACACAGGCAGAAATGAAAGGTATTAGTGTCCTCCAGAGTGCTAATCAATTTTTTACTGATACAAACTCATTCACCCCTTCCATTAACCTCGTCCTACACAAAGGCCTGAAGTGCATTAATGGCCACATGAATTCCTCCTTCTTAGAAAGCAGTCCTGAAATCTAGGCAGCTAGATTTTATTGTGAGAATTGTTTGTATCTGCAGATTACTTGTTCCTTGCTTTTGTAATATGTGCATGGTATTTGTTTACATTAAATTACATAACTGCAAAGGTATATATTTATAACAAAACATCAGAAGCCTGTTTGATGGTAACACCTAATTCCTGTGCGTATCCTACCCTCTGTACTGCATTGATATTTGCAATAACTTTGAGCTCTGTGAGCCCTCTGTACATCTTTAAAACCTCATTACCTTCTGTCCAGAAGTTCAGTGCTTTTCTTGTTCCTTGCATCCAGACAGGAAAAGGCTGTCTGAGGAGCTTACCTGTTTCTAGCTATTCACATTCAAACATCTGAATGTTATCTGCAGTTCTCTGCCGTGAGTTCTAGGAATTTTAGTGTGAAATGCATTGTTGTTTTGAGGAACATGATTTATGAGTAAAGACTAAGGAAAATGAACTCTGCGTATTAAAGCTTGCCTATCCCTTGCCATTTGATTTACTAGTTTCACCAGGTGATGCCTACAAACTGACTTTCAGGTGCTCTTTTACTCCTTCACACCATCTTTTTGTCCATTGGGTGCTAACACATAGTCTATGTCAGTGAATGGTATGATGAACGTCTGTATATTTAACGTTTTGGGGGATAAAACTGTAGCCTTAGGCAGTAGAAAATAACTGTTATTCTTGTTTACCCTATAAACCAGAATACAGAATGCAAAAGCCCATCCACTGGCATAGGTTTTATACATATATGGATTTATATAAGCATATGCACATATATATATAAAATATGTGTATATTGTATAGTATGTGTGTGTGTATACATAAATATACAGCAGTGTGCATATACTACACACAGAATAACAAAGGGATGTCTACAGAGCAAAACTAGGTGTCCGTATCATTATGGCTAGAGATTGGTCTGAACCACAGTCCTGGATCCAAACACCATTGCCTTTAGAAAGTTTGCATCTGTTTTTTGAGATCTGTGGTTTAGTTTCATCTCTGGTTACAGCTGTAGTTACTTGTGTATATATGCATTCTGGGGGACGTGTGTGTGTGTGTGCGTGCGCACATGTGCTTATTCACATGTGTATGCCTCTGTGAGTGACAATATTTGTGCAAATGTGCACGTTTACGTACATACGTTCAGCCTTGGTAAACTGTAATGTTACTGGTGTCATCTTCTCTTGGACAGTTTTATCAACAGCACACGAATGCTTCCATGGTCACTTTTCAACTCTATAAATCACTACATTGAAGTATTATAGTTGTACAGTTATATGCTCATCTATTCTTGCTCTGCTGTAACTTTTTATGTATTTTGTACTGCATAGATTATATATTGTGATAATGTCTATACAACAACAGTAAAAAGGAAAAAAAGGAAAAAGGAAGAAAATTAACAGCTGTAAAGCATCGTCTTAACGTGTATGCATGGTTAGTGACGTTTACATTTTCCAAAATAAAAGTTATAATATGAAGTGTTGCCTTACCTATAATTTCATTTTCTGTATCAGTTAAAAAGCATCAACTAGGTAGTATTTCTGCTGTTAGTTTGAGGTTTGGTATGTTGTTTGTTGTCTTTGTTTAAATTTCAATCAGCGCTACTGTTTAAAACAGGATTTTTTTAAACCATTGAGAAAAAGTTTGTGTGATGTTTGTTTTGTATTCTTCTTCAATACATATTTTAGAGCTGCATAGTGAAATTCCTTTCTCAAGGCTGGCATGTGCTCCATTTTTCTTTACAAGATAGTTACGGAATTAATATACACAAATTAAAGCTCAGAGTCAACCATCCTTTCTTTCAAAGCGTAGTTCCTTGCAAATTTCTGATACCTTCTCCACAAATGGCAATGTCCTATCAAAACAGTTATAATTTAATCTCATAGTGCCCTGAAATGTTTTCTTACCTCATTTTAGAGATGATGAAATTGAAGCATAAGTGAGTGACTTCCTCAAAGATGTGAGGCTATTGCAGATACATGTCTTTGTCCTTCTTTGGAATTAACACCACACCCACAGGAAAACAATTTTGTGTGCTACAGTGATTAACTGTCTATGGAACATTACATCTGATTGCAAAAATAATTTGAAAGAGTAGACTACTATTGAAAGGTGAAAGCTAAAATATCCTCACCAAGCCAGGGACAACTGTGGAAATTACTTTAAAATCAATATGTTTTCTTGTGTGGGGGTGATGAAAACTGTTCAGAGCAAGTGACTTGGAGAGGCGTTATCTTTAACAGCAGCCTTCCCCATGTGTTTATGGCTGTGTTGAACTGTCACTGCTATTCATTATCTCGGACCACGCGCCAGTTAGCTTGTACATCTCTATGTATCTACAAGCAACTGTTGTTCTATAATTTACACAAAGGAACTAGCTAAATCACATAAATGCTTAAATATGTTAATGCAGTATTTATGGGATCTTTATCTGGGAACACCATACTCTTCGGGCAGGCAGTGGATAGCTTTGACTCTATTAGCGAACCTCGCTGGAACAGAAGATAAAATGCCTGTGTCCAGCAGAAAACCACAGGCTTGTTTCATTCTTCTCGACAAACATTGGCATGATGTGGCTGCTGTCTGCTCATGTCAGTGTCATTGGTATAAATGGGAAATTCCAGGTTAGGAGAGTCCTTAGGCAAAAATTCTGGTAAACTAATACCAAAGTGTGCGTACTTCATTGTCCATCAGTCTGACTGTTGAACTTCTTCAGTTTCATATTAACTGAAGTAATTAACCCCACCCTGCTCCTGGCAGTCCTTCCCTTGAGTTTGCATCCTGGGCTGTCCTTTTACGGCATTCACATTTCTTAGTTCCATTTTTACCCCTTAGCAGGCAGGCTGTGCAGCTGCTTTAGAAGACTAATTGCTTTCTGCTACTTGGTTCCTATGGATAGGGACATTTCTGACTACTACCCCTACGCAGTTTTTGGCCACTTGCTCCATCTGAATTCACTGTTTGCACTAGATGGAAAGGTGGTGAGGTGCATTTTTTCACCGCTGCTGGAAAAAGTTGGTAATAGTCTCCTGCTCCTCTTCTCTATTAAAGAATAGGTCTGAACATCTTTGGAAATACAGGTTAAACAGTGCCTTTAAAGAGTTGTGTACTCGTGAAAATAGATTCTGAAAAATAGCACTTCCGAAGCCTTCCTACATGAAGGCTCCACCTCATGTTTGATAACAGAGGAGCAGAAAAAGACCATTTTCTGAACTTTCTGGAAGGAGGAAAGGAGAAACAAATCCTTCTGAAAGGATATGCCTTCTCAGTCTGAGCATGGAGCTGTTGCCTTGGTTCCGTAATGTTACGTGCATCCCCACGCAGACACCCACACTGAAACATGTAACACATTCTCATCCACAAAAGAAACTGCTCCTCTTGGGTTGCTAAATATATGGGTTTCTGTCTTGCCTATGACTCAGCGCTCATCATCAGATGTTCATAGGCTTGGCAGCAGTCCATCAGTTCAGAAGAAAAGAGAAAATGCTATTAGAAGTAGGATGGGATTTTTATATTCACGTTTACCTGTGTATGATTGCAGTCTCCAAAGCAGTTCACCTCAAGGTTCTTTGTGCCAGCGCCTCAAGGAAACACAGCCATGATGTGCCTTGCTATTTGACTGCAAGAGATTAAAGTGACAGAAATATAAATATACCATCAACAGAAAGATGGAGAAGAAAGGGAAGACAGGTTGAAATTAAAAAAAAAAAAAAAAAAAAAAAGGATGAGGGAAATGAGACAAGCCAAGAGTTCCTAGCAGCTGACCAGAAGGGCTCCTATGGCACCAGAATACATGTGGGGCTTCCTAAAGAACTCCAGGGTGACCAGGCTGGGCAGCACCTCCAAATACTGGGGACCACAGCACCTTTTCTGTGAGCAGTAGAAAAGGGTCCTACATCAAAGAGTAATTCAAGTGGGCAATCACACGTCTAGCTAGCTACAGCGCATTGCTGGCACAGCTAAGAGTTTAACAAGAGACTTTTTAATAGCCTTCTCAATCCATACACAAGCCCAGGGTGGGGAGTCTGGATGCCCAGACATCTGGGCAGCAAGAGAGGGAAAGGGAAGCGTGAATGAACACTGGCTGTGGCAGTCAGCTTTGCGCTCTGGGCAGTGCAGAAAGCAAGAGCACATTAAACAAATGTGGAGAAAAAAAGAGTGAAGAAGAGGGATCTGAGAAAACCTGAGTGAGGTTTTAGGCAGGAACAGGCCTCAAAGATCTATGAGCACTGCAAACAAAACCTAAATGCTTACATCTTAGTAATAACTCTGCCTCACCGAGAGCAAGCAGCTCTACAGCGTAATTGGTGCCTCATCATAATTGTAAATAAAGGACCAACCCGCCCAACCCGACTGGCACCGGCAGGAGTTAGTTACAATCTCTGGCTCCCGCTGGCAGGAACGAATGTTCAAGAGGCAGAGAGGGGTTGGCATCAGGGGCTGGGCTCTGAGAGGCTCCGAGGCGCTGCTGCTGGCAGGCCTGTGCCGAGCTGCCGCTTGCTCTCTGCGTCAGGGCCTAACCGCAGCGTGCCTGGGCCTGCCGAGCCGCTGCCGGGAGGAGCCTCCGGAGGCTGGCGCAAACACAGCCACGCTCGCAGCACATCCTCTGCCTCAGACCACACTGCTTGCTACCGCTTCCCTCGCAGGGGCTAAAGCCAGGCACCACCCTTTCTGTCGTGCTGTCTGTAGGCATGACATTAGGGTCATGCTGTCCCCGAGCCCACACGTCACACCTTTACCACCCTGTCACCCCCAGCACAAGTACCGTAGCAAGCCAGTAGTAGTGGGCACAGAAATACTAACATCAGAAAGCCAATATTGTACTTCCAAGGACAACTAAAGGCTTGGAGCCTGCCCCCCTGACTCACCTGTGCTGGCAAGAAGTCAGCTGGAAGGGAGAACTGAACCGGACCCCTATTTTCCATGATCCTCAGACTGCAGGAGAAAAAGACCACTGAAGAGTTACACGGGTATCCTGAAGTGCTGCCATTCTAGGATTTGTCTCTTAAAGCTTGCCATCACCAACTTAAGCACTGCTTTGCAAATACAGATAAGATTTACGTTCCCTGCCTGTTGTGAGCTGAGTTAGATTCAGGCTGTGTCTAACACATCGAGATGTCCAAGCTAACTCCGGAGGTGATTCAGCAATACTAACGTGACACTGCTTGGACTGACAAACAGCCCTCAGCTCACTGGGCAGAGCATCATCTCAATGCAGTTGTGGTTACACCGCCCAAGCCAGCTGGTTCTGAGCTAACCCAGGGATCCTTCCCAAGGCCTACCCTGTACAACCTGGACATGGCCAAGGGGAAGGTGAAGGATGCCCAGAGGGTGGACAAGAGGACACCAATGAGAAAGAAAGGCCAGCTGAAGGCCAAGAGAGAGGTGTGCTGGCCAGGCAGAGAGCTTCAGTGTAATAGGAGGAATGAGACGAAAAAATGTGGGAAGCAAATCAATAGTGCAATAAATGGGGAATGTGAGATTAAGAGGAGGAAGATTGGTGTAGAAAAAGGAGAAAGGATAGGGTAGGGCAATTCTGTATCCTTTTACATAGAGAAAAAGAAAGGGATAAGGTGCAAGATCCAAAAGGAGGTCTGGGGGAAGGAGCACGATAGCTCCTGCGGTGGCATTCCCAACAGACTGGACACTGAGCTGTGCCAGCACATAACAAATAGCACGATGCATCTTTAAGAGCCCGATGTTTGTATTTTCCCATGCTCTCCTATTGCTGAGATAACTTACTGAGTCATTGCTCTGATCCTGGAGACAAACGGAACAGGCACAAAACATAACAAAACAATAGCAACGGGAAGAGAGAAATCCCTCCCTCCCTCCCCGTTCACCACACACGCATTTAACGTCAGCCATCCCTCAAAGCCTCCCAGCGGCAGAGAAGCACGGGGCAGGCTGATGGCGCTGCGTGGCGCACGTGTTTCGAATCAAGGTCACCTTCTCCACCACTGCACGAACAGCTAAAAACATGAAAGCTGCAATTGCCAGCCTTCAGTCTGGTGCTTGTAAATATTGTATCCAGTCTCCTTGGTTAAATGGCTTTTCCACAGAGAGTGAGCTGCAGCACGAATTCGCTAGCTTTTTAACTTCAAAGCTTTTCACTTCAAAGACCCCGCACTTTTTCTCTTAAGATTCGTGCCCCACCCTCTGCAAAAACGATGGCAGTTTGGGACTCTCAAAATGCCACATTGGGAAGCTCACAGACTGCAGCCTAACTTTCCTACTACACTTCTAAAAGTCAGCATCACAACCGTGATCTCCCCAGATGGGAGTAAGGAAATGGGCACCCCCTCAAGCATCCTGCCCCCAGCCCAGGCTGCACCACGACTTCCTATACCAAAAGGCAGAATCACCACTGATCAAGCAAAGGGCATTTTCTCTGTCTCTAACCTGTGCTGAGAACTTTCTCATGCGCTGTGGTATTACAAGACAATAAGGCCCCACAGAGTCACAGAGGTTTGGTTTAAAACATGGCCTTTGGGTTGACTCTGGAATTAGTCAAAAACAACTCCAAGCTTTCCCACTACAGGGCTGCTGTTCAAACTGCAGTTTTCAGCCCCCTAGAAAGAGTAGGATGGTTCGTCAAGAAGGCGACAGAAGAAAATTTAGTTTGGGATTGGCACTCCCTCCTCGCCACCTCTGCAGTGAGCCCAGCGCTGGGCACCCCATGAGGGCCCCTGCAGGACAGCCACCCTCGGGCAGAGGGCTCTGAGCAGCCACAGCACGGCCAGGCTTCTGCACAGCAAGAAGTCTGAAGACCGGGTAAGGGATGGATGGTTCCCCCTTAATGCGCCCTCGCACGCAGCTGGACTGAATCACCCAGCTGAGGAAACAGAGGCGAGCCCAGGGAACCCTGTGAGGGTGGGACCGCCCAAACAGCAGGATCGGGTGAAGAAATCGGGGCTGGCTGCTGGCTTCCCTGCAAGGAACCTTCCATTAAGGCTCCACTGGATATTTTTGGACTCCAGCTCTCTATTTTTAGGAGGGACAATTAATGCAGAAGGAAATAAGGAAGGAAAATATCAAGCTTTGAGTCCAAGAATGGAAAAATTTGTATTCTCCACAAAATTGTCCACTGTGATTAAGGAGGAGTAAAAAGGAAAGGAAGGGTTATATTTCATGAGTAAAAATATGCTACAAATCACTGTAAAAATTGTATGTTACATGGTGTTTGCTAAGAGACAGGAAGCATTTCTGGAAGGCAGCATTTCACCACTTAACTGCTATTAAAGAGGAGTGAGTGCCTGGCTTTACAACACAGCTGTGCCCTGGCCGTGTTTTTGTAGAGCTGTCAGCTGTGCAGAGGCTGCTGGCATCTCAGCATGTTGTGATTCCGCCTGAGGAGGGGCTGGCTGCGACCTTGAGAACAACTGGCACGGGCCGTGCCCAGCTCTCTGCATGAAGTCAGTAAGAGAAAAATCACAGTCAAGTTGCTTAATGCCCTCGCCATCTGCTAGAAAACCCCGTGAGCCACATGTAACACCCATCCCAGCGTGGCTGTATTATTCTACGAAACGTGGAAATATTTTCTGACATGAAAAAGCAGGTCCTTAAAATAACCTGCCTGAAACACGATGGAACAATACGTGCAATGCTTTTAAAATTCAGCTATTATTTTACTGATAACAGTGGTTTAGATTCACGTCCCTCAGCCTTACAACACAGACTTGAACTGGTATTAATGTCACCACTGCCTGCAGAAGAAAAAATCTGAGTTTTCCCTCACTCTTCTTTATCTCCATCTTCAATTCTCATCTCTTTCCAAACAGGACCTGCTTCAGAGCAGGGCCTCCTTGCCTGCCTGCTCAGCATCTGCAAGGCACCTTGCAGACCCGAGTGGCATCGTCACCCGCCTCCAAGGAGAAACTCCGGCTCCTTACCACCCAACCACAACCCACACTCACCATTAGACACACTTTTTTCTACTGTAGGGGTCACCTTATTTTAGACTGAGCCCAGCTTGTAAATTCCTGACACCACAGGGAACATTTGTGTGAAATACCTAACAGCAGCAGAACATGGCAGGAGGCAGCAGTCCAACAATACCTAAAACAGTACCTCCCTTTTAGGTGCCTCTAAAAAGAGTTGGCTCTTCACTTCAGGAAGCATCACACAAAAATTTCTCTTTTCAACTTGGAACTGCCATTTTCTCTAAGCAAGACTGAGGGCTGGGAAGGGTTGGAGCTAGAAAAAATCCCTGGGAATTAATACTATTTCCTAATCATACCTGTCCTGCCTGATAAACACTTGCCCCATGCCCCTAATTAGACAGAACCTCTTTGCAAACCCACTGGCTGAGGAGCTGTTTATTTCTAAGCCAGGGAGATGGAGGTCAGCTCTGAGGAGTTACAAACCAATTGGGAGCATAATGATGTACTACAGAGTGTCTTTTGTAATGAATACTCTTTCTAATTTCAAAGGGGTTTGCAGACGTGAATGAGACTGTGATGAGTGTTTGAACTACTCACTGCTAGCCACGTTTAAATTACATGAAGCACTATACAGTAAAAGTTAAGCTGAAGCATTTATATTTCGTATGTGTCCAATTACTTTTGATAATGAAGTGTTAGAGCAGTATTGTCTAGAAATCTCAGAAGCCCAGATTCATAAGATATTTATGATAGAGCTAATGAGCTTCTGGCTTCTCTGATAATTTCCTCAAAAAAGCAGGTCACTGTATGAACAGCAGCAGCTAAAAGCAAAGCAGACTGGCTGTGGTACAGGTTTAATCAGCAGTAAGATACACAGTCACCGCCTAGCTGTCCAAATCTAAGCCCCACACACAGCAAATACCAACAAGGCAATCCGAGAGCAATAGCTGTCATTGCCACACAGGAAATAAGCTGACGGAGCTCACCCAGTGCTCAGGTGGTTACTCAGTGAGTCACTGCCGCCAACACCCATGGCTACCCCACAGACACACTCACCGAGTGCTGTCTGGAAACAGCTTTCCTTTTCTTCATAATTTCAAAAGTTAAAAGCTTTCTTTAAAGAAGGAAAGCATTATTTTTTAAACAAACCTCCTGCCAACATTTGAAATCCCCCAGATAGCACACGTGCCAGCTTTCTGTTTTCCCGGAATATTGTGCAGAAGCCATGAAGCCAATAACAGGTTTTGCAACCAACCGATACCACACTAAATTCGTGATACTCCTTCTGTTCACATAACTGATGTTAACTGGAGAACGTTACCTATCAGCACTGTGGAGAGAGACAGGAGTTTTCCCCTGCAGTTACATCCCCGTCATTTCTGAACCCCAGAGCTGTGTGCTTGCCTTCAGGTTCCGTCCTAGAGCAGACACAACATATCCTGATGGCCTGGATGAGAAGCCAGACTTCAAATCTAACTGGACTCTTCTGTATTATGTTTATCCAGGTGCCAAAACTAGCGTGCTGGTGGTACGTACAAGCACCAGGAAATGGATATAAGTTGCAGTCATGAAGCTCTACTGAGCCATCAGCATTCAACCTGGGGCCGGAGTGCCTGGTGGCATCAGGGCAGCTCCCAGCCAAACAGCCAGCAGGGACAGAGCAGGTGGCAGGCACAGAGCTGACGGCAGCATCTGCCTCAGGAGGAGCACGGTTCAAGGCAATGTAATTTCAAACAGCGTGGACACTGACTTGTGGAAGTCAGGAAAGGGACAGCATCACCCGTGAGGGTTAGCAGAAGGTTTTGTGAGGCCAGGGTGGGTGCTTGTTCTCTTCTTAACCATACCAAAGAGCTTACTTACTGTTACTACACATCCTGCATTGGCAGGGCCTTATGCAGGCAGTTCTCTCAGGTCTACCTGCAGTAAATCTATTCACTTACTAATTTACACCTATTAGTAACTGGGTCCTACACTAGCCACTGCCATTTGGCCCATCTCAATTGATCAGGGTTTTTATTATAATTGGCAGGTGAAGTCTAACGTGTGAGATTCTGCATTTCAAAAGAACTTGGACATGCCATAACTTACATGCTGTTGAACCTTGCATAAGAGGTACAGTTTGTTAGGTCTCCTTTGCTTTCATTCCAGTCACTCCAACAGTTTCCAACCTTTGCATAATCCGAGGATGATTTGCTGTAGAACGAAGAAATTGAGTTCACTATTACTCTGCACAGCACTGAGACTTTTTTTCTATTAGTGTGGTTCTGTGATCTCCCTGAATGAACAGAGTGACTTAACATTTTCCCGCACAGACAGGCAGTGTAAATTGCAAGTGTAAAATGGGGCAGGGAGAGGGAGGCCAGGGATCACGTAGGGATATCTCCAAGCCCAGGAGCTCAGATAGCCACCACGGCCTTTGCTTCACCAGTCAGGTTTCTCTTAGGTCTTACATTGCATATAGGTAGACATTTGTAATAACTGATTTTTGTCCTTTTCTAGTTTTAGATTCACAGCACCTTCTGAGCTCAGATCAACCCTTTGGCAAGTCTTGTTAAACATTACTGTTAGTTCCAGGCATAGCCCTGTAAGGTCTGTCAATTCTCCCCAAAGCCTTCATTGTCCCTCCCGGAGATACACACCTGGCACAACAGCCACAGTTTCTGCTTTTGTTTTGTGATCCTTCTGTCCCTCTGATTTCTCCATCTCTGGCTTTTATCTTGTTTTTAGATTATTGACCTTGAAGGGCAAACTGCAATGTACTCCCCATTTATGCTACGTAGGCCCCTGAGCTGTGGCTCATACTTCCCACCTGGCAGTTGTGGTGCAGGTACTTTCAGTGGTGCAGTTCCGTTGTCACCAATCGTCTTTACACCAAAATAGGGCAAGGGAGACTCAACCCCTAACAACAGGGAGGAAAAAACGCATTTTCCCCACATGACTGGTACTTACTCTAGACCTGTGTTAGCTATGCACTACTGCCATTTTGCTTCCTTTAGCACTATTACCAGCTTTATCTGTGCCTAGCATCTAAGTAAGGTGGAGACTGGAGAAAAGGTTCCCAAATTATTCCTTTAAAATGCATCCTGAATCACTTCCTTTTTTTTTTTTTTTTTTTTTTTTAGAAACATTGCAATGAATAAAAATGTTGCAACGCTAAAAGTAGAGGGAGTCTTTCAAACGTGGTGACAACTCAGTGATACACAGATTTGATCAAAGAGACCATCGAAACATCGGAAGTAGAACATGAAGAAAAGCCCGTGGAGGTACAGGGCAGATGTAAAAACTGAAGACCAGAACTAGATGCAATGAAGAACAACTCAGAAATGATTAGTAAAGAATTAAGATCAAATAATAAAGGGTAAGAACAGTGAGAAATGAGAACACCTCCAGTGAGGTTGAGCAATCAGTAACTGCTTCATTGGAGAAGGGTTCAGCTGCAAAGTATAGCCACATGTTATGAAGAAAGCTGTGCTTTTTTAACGTAAGTATCAAGTAAAACCAAGTTTGCACTTACATTTAATGTTGTAAAAATCCTTTTTAGTTGTCATTGTTTTCAGGCTAGTTATTTACTGAAACATTTGCAGTATTATATTCGAGTCAGATAAGCAGTATATTATATCCTATTTAACTGTTCTGGCTACAGAGCTGCCCTCCAGTGCTAGGGGCAAAGCTTACCTGATGAGTAATCTTTCCTGCAATTTATCAATCTCAAATCTCAAGGTTTAGACTTTTTGACTCATGGGAACTCAAAAAAAAAAAGCTCCTTTTTAGAAATGTTTTCCACTTACTCATGCAGTTTGACTGAGCCATCTGTATAAAATGCAAATGAATGAAAAATAAGAGACATAAAAGATCTTTCCTGTAGCAAAGATACTACTTCTACATTTAAAAAACATTGCTAGTAAATTAATGTACTTTTTTTTTTTTTAAATAGGATCTAAAGTTACCAGAAAACAAACAAACAAACAAACAAAAAAACTATAAATGCTAGTTAGTCCATGAGGAAAACAATACCACAGAAGAAAAATGGAATCACTTGCATCAATGCCAACAGGCTGAGGAGAATTCCTTTTTATCAGCACTCTGCAGATGTGGGCTAGTTCCTCTTCTTTCATTAACAAATCTGACTTTCACTCTATGCCATTAGAATGAGCATCCATCACCAGTTTTCTGTGCAGCCAGTGGTACATCACACCAGCAGCGCTTCCTGCATCCCCACAGCAGGATATCAGCGGACGGTAACTGGTAACAGTTGTCCGGGAGGACTCTGTGGTTATGCAGCAAGCAAACCACCCATGAAGGAGGCTCACCCAAAGCCCAGCCATTTTACAGTACTGCCCCAAAGAAGCTATTATTTACTAGCACCATTTTTCCTGTTCAAACCTTCTTACAGAAGAGATTAGAGACAAGCAGCATAAATTACAATGCTATTTTCAAAACTTCTGTATTGACTGAGTATTCCTCCGGAGTATTTCTGAGTAAAAAGGAAACATATAACTAGCACAGGCTGAGGGAATCTGAGCGTTTGGATTTTGGTTAGGATGCTTATCAGGAAAGACAACCAATGCTAGATTTCAACACATGCTGCCTTACTTCTCTTTACTGTCCTTTCCCCAGGGAAGTCCTGAAGTGTTTCTTGAGTGTAAATTCCAGTTCTGCAAACTAATCTGCCTTGTTTTTTCCTGCAACACTGTTGGAGTTGATATAGCTCTAGAAGGATGCAGAAATCTGATCATACTGAACAAATTCCATGACTGTAGCCTCTAAATTGATACAAAAAGAGGACAGATGAATTATTTTGTGTACCACTGCAATAAAGGTAACACAATGCCAGCATCAATCAGCCAGGCAGAGAAGTTTAATATTACAATGTCCTTATATATAAGACCCATATTCCTTAAAACTAGCATTTAAAGCTATGTCCACAAATAGCTCTACTAAATAGTCCAAGGGTTTGTATTTCAAAATATTTCTGGTTCAAACAGCAATGTATTTTGCTTAAGAAACAGATTTATAAAGTGCTTTAGACATACCACATGCAGACCAAGATTTTTAGTTGCTACTGTTGAAGAGCTTAATTTTTCATTTCATTTTATTTTTAAGCAAGTTTAGGTACTTACTTTCAGCTTGTGCTTGGGTTAGCAGATAGAAGGATAATTTTCTACCCTTGCACCCTTCCTTCTCTGGCTATTACTCCATCTTCTCTCCCATCAGAAGGATATGTTTTATAACGTGGCTGGACCATATGATCCTGTGGCTTGCTGACATGGGAGGCGGTCCTGCAACTCTCCTCCCCTTCTTCTGAACTCCAAATGCTTCCTTTGTGCCAGTGCCGGTATTCACATTACCCCACAATGAGCTGGTTTAAGAAGTCAAGTCAATAGAAAACTATCACAAGAAATACTGTTTTATAGGCGCTACACTGTCTGACATAGAGGAAGCTCTCTTAACATGGGGAAGCTCTCTCAGTTTGCAGTTCTTCAAGTTGCACACTGATTTCTTTTCTTGTGACAGTCCTAAACCTTCTCCCCTGTCTGGTAGCAGTGTTTCCATGACTGCTGGTCAGAAGATGGAGACAGATGTAAAGCTATTAAACTTCAGAGAAAATTTTATTTGAACATCTCTACTATTTGTTTTGGGAAGAGCAATGATCTCCGAGCAGCATTAGTGCTCTTCTAAGCCATTCCTTTTGTAATACTCAGCACAGTTAGTCTGGTCGTATCAGTCAAGAAGACTCTTCAGCAAATGCATAGATCTGAGCAGTTCCATAACCCCCGCTGATCCTTATCTTCTTTTCTGCCTATTAGGTCCAGTGCATTTGCATGAGGAATAAAGGAAATCCTAATGGCAGGCTGGCACATTAATAGATGGAAGCAGATGGAACCTTTGAGAACTGCAGAACAGGTAGGTGTGTTGAAAGGTTTTGATTTTTGTTTTGGAAATTATTTTATCACTGATTTATCCCCAATTCAAAGAGGTTGTTAAACAACAACTACTGAAGGTAATGGTGTAATGTGAACATAGGCAAAATAATGAAGTGGTTAAGATGGAATTTTAATCAAGAATGAAAGAAGGGTGAAATCAAAACAAAACAAAACACTGTATTGTGTTAGAGAAAATAGGCCCTTTCAAAACTTTTTAGCTTACTTGAAAAGATTAGGTGTTTAACATTTTGCCACCAATCCAGTGTCTCAGAGGAGGGCCAGCCCTACACTATCATATAATTTTATCAATCACGGGGGAAAAGTACTTAAAAGAATTACTATCAAAAGATTACATGATAGGGTGCTAGTACAGATTGCTCAGTAAAAATCAAAAACCAAACAAACCATATGGGCTTGATACAATTAAGTCAGACATTTAGGAAAAATTAATGCACACCCTTAGCTACTCACCAGATGGAGGTCTTTAGCTCAGGAAGTAAGAAATCTGAAAAAGACTAGGTCAAAGAGCAGCTGAATGAGAGTTCTTTGCACATCTTATACCCAAAAAGACTAAAAACGTCTTCGAGAATAAACATACAATTATTTTCTGTTAGGGAAGCTGGTACTGAAACTTAAAAACTATCAATTCTTACATAGAGTCAGAGACTAATTCAGAAGAAAGGCTGCGATGATTGACTCACCTCCTACCACAGCCTGCAGTGGGATCTGTCTGAATTAACTCTTGTTGAATCTGGAGTGTATTTTAGAAAAAACCTTTCAGTCTGATTCAGGTACCTACAGATCAAGGGAGATGCTAAAAAGCTGGAGGAGAGTCAAAGCATGGGCATGGGAAAGGTTGTAGAATTGGAGATACACCTTTGCAACACCCTCGGAAAGCTCAGGCTATTTAACTTGACACAGAGATGGTTAAGGAATGGCCCCGTCACAGGGTACAAGCACTTCAAGGGCAACAAACTACTCAGGAGCGAAATGAGATCCAAAGGCATTAGCTTACTGTGCAAATTTGTGTTAGAAACAAAAGTTCTTAAAGAAATGGTTAATTAATGAACGGTCATTTCTAGGCCTGAATTTCCTGAGGAGAGTAACAACTATCACAGCCCAAAGTGTTGCAGCAGTCCTTGCGCCTTTAGAGCCTAGGAGCTCAGAATACTCCATAAAAACTAAAGCTGAACAGGCCTGACAGTGCCTGATTTCTGGCTTTTGCCAATTACCTAGTTTATGCAAATTAATCTTGAAATGAAACTGAGTGACTTTATGGCAACAGAATGGAAGCTTGTGACGAGCCAATTATAACCCCACTGGTTTGCAGCATGCTCCCTGCATGCTTCTCTTCCAGGCTTCAGTGTTTCCCCAGCATAACGCTGAGGAGAATGCACAAAAAGCACAAATAAGAATTCAAGCAAACAAATACTTTAGAAATAAATTAATTTTATTGAATAGGCATTATAGCTTCTCTCCGTTTCAAATAATGGAGAAGCCAACTCACACAGATTACAGAGCTATCAGTTACTTGGAATAATCTTTCATAAAAGAAAGAAATTAAATACAGTTCTGCTATAAAAAGTGCGACAGTTATAACTGGAAGTTTCTCAAAACATAAGCAAGTTTTACTAGCTATTGCAAAAATTGGTTTAGTGCTTAATACTTTACAAAGTAACAATCCAACTGCTAAAAACAGCTCTTACACATCATCTTTGTCAAAGTATGGATCAGATTAAAAATGACATTTAAATTGAATTAGAATGAAAACTGTATGTAGAAAAGGTTCTCAAGAACTCACACGTTTCACAACAAAAATATTAATTATCCTTTAACATTGTTTAATGCTCGCTTCATTTGAAAAATGGATTTAAACATGTGGCAGCTTAAAAATGATCAAGTGTTTTCTTTGCAGACAAAAGTGACTGCAACCAATCGCATCTTTAAATTATGAATAGGGAAGGCAATGGAAAAAGATAAATTCACTTCATTCATACACCATGTTTTGCATGAAAATTGTCAAATATGGAGAAACCTGTAAAGTCACTTCAGCTTTAAATAAATTTCTGATATATATACTTTTTTTTTTTTTAAATCCAAAATCAATCTTTGTTAAAATAGTATAAACATATAGAAGACAGTAAGAAACTCAAGCTCTGAAAAATAAGAAAGGTGGTGTGCCTACCAGAAAGTTGAATTCTGAAACTAGGACACTAGCCAACAAAAAATAGTGAGTCTTCCTTTATTCCTTGTTAACCTTACTTAAGCCTTGGTGAGAGCCAACTATCTTTCTTTGAAACATGGACTGAAGTTACAAATACATTTATCATACATTTCTTCGGTTTTAAAAATGCTGACTTTGCTAGGTTATTAGAAAGGGTCACATTACCTGTCCTCATTTTTATAATTAATTAGCTTTGGTTATATAATTGAACAGAGACCTTTTGTTAATGAGTAAATGAACTTCTATAAACTAAGAGTGTGACATCCATGCTATTTCAAATCTTTGTGCAGACAAGCCACTCCATATGCAAACTAAACATAGAAGGAAAATCTGCCAGAGGCTTAAAAAATATCCTGCACAAATGAGAACAAAGAGCTTTAGGACTTGGCTAGGGAAGTAGAACATGAAAGGAAAAATATTAGCAGGTAGCAAAATAACATATACAAACAATTTGGGGAGGGCACATTATATAGTATAAAGTTGTGATCAAATCACTACTCATCCCTTTTGTGTACCTTTTGTGTATAGTACTTTGGATTGTCCTGCAAAATTTGCCCTTATCTGAGAAGCGTTGGGTTGTAACAACACTGGACTGTGTAGGATGCACACATAAAAAAAGTATACTGAATGTCAGAAATACATGTGAATTGCATTGATCGTTTTAATGTTTCATTCAACTGTTCCCATACAAAAATGTCAGTCACAAGAATCAAGGAGGAGGAACAAGGCCTTCCAAGGAGAACAAAGTCTTTCAGCCATACAACAGTTAACTCCAAGATGTCACAAAAAGTTTATAACAGTAACTTACTACTTGAAATTGAACAATAAAGCTCTAGATTGATCCCAACAGGAACACAAGAGCCATACAGTTCCGAAAAATTGCATCACAGCTGAATCATGGTAAGGCTGGCACATTACAAACACAACATGGAGCTACCAGGGTAAGAACAGTGGGCTTGAAAAACACATGGAAGTAACTGCTCCTCCCCGGGAAAGAGCACAGACCTAACCTACATAATTTGGACAGTTTTCTACAAAACTCAAAGCTGGCCTAGGGTCCCAGCTGTGGCTGGGAACTCCTCAATGTTTAGGTTTGAGTGTCTAATTCCATTCATTACTTAATCTGGGCTTAAATCTTGTTTGTTCTCCTTGGTTTATGATGAATGAACTGAGATTGGTATCATGTACATGCAAAGCTCCTTGAGAGGCTCCAAGGGAACAGCGTTTTCTGTACTGTACATGCACTTTGTGCATTATACAAAGGCTGTATTTACAGTACTCGGAATCTTGAGCAACAAAACCAAAATCATTCCTTCATTTTTGTTAGTATTAAAACATAAGTGCATACAGTTTGCAAAGCTGAGAGACGAGCGGTTCTATTACGCCCACATGGCTGTTTCAGTTCATACCTGATTGCAAGCCCGTATTGAAAGGAGACATAGGGCACACTTTTAGCCTGAGATGCCACGGTTTGCTGCAACATCTCCTGCATATTTTAACCCAAAGCATAGGGAAGAGGCTTTGTGTTACTCAAACCTAGAGGCAAATGACAACAAGGCAGTGTTCACTCCATCTGTACTGCAGAGATACTGTTTAAACACCACCAGCTAGAAGTAACTGTATCTGTTTCAGCTAGGCTGGCCATGGCTCTCAGGCTCCTGACACACTGCCAGGCTTCATTGGGCAGAATTTCTATGCCAAAGGATTCTAATTTTATTCTGTGGCAAAGCACTTTCATGAGATTTACCTCAAAAGGTGCCTTTTACCTCTCAGTTGTCTGAGAAGGAAAATGCAACTCCCGTATAACTCCATTTTCATGTTTACATTGATTTTCCACACAAACAAAGAACTGGGTCATTATCATACAAGCAACAAGCTATTATTTTTTTTCCCCCTTTTTTGAATTTCCTGCTTTAAAAAACAAAAACAAAACAAACAAACAAAAACAAACAAACAAACAAACAAACAAAAAAAAACAAACATTTGACAGGGGAAGAGGAAAAATTAAATACACAGCTCTCACAGAGAAGCATTTTAGGCACTAAGTCTAGTTCTAACAGTGGATCACACTTTTGCAATTTCAGATGCTCCTGCCATTACAATAGCATTCACTTAATGAGAGAAGCAAACTTGCCATTGTTCTCTCCATTCCTCCCCAGTAGTGAGCCTCTGCATCAAAGTAAGAGGCTAGAGTAGATGCAGAGATGAACAGCAACGCATTTCTGTGCTTTCCCAGAATACAGGAAGATGTACATAGCTTCCAGTCTTCACAGGAAATAGTTTTTGATAAAACAACTGTTTTCCCTTGTTTAGTACTTTGGTGCCATGGTTACTACACTACCCACCATTCGACTATTTTTACCCTCGTTGCTTTTTTTGACCAAGGTTTTCTGACACACTGACGGTTATCAACAAATTGTAATTTTTTTTAAATAAAAATGTCTTCAAAAATGACAGGTTATTTAGATGAGTATGCAGACCCTTATGCGGACTACAGCAGGCTAAAGTGTTTTACTCTCTTGGCTAAATGAGGAAGTGGGACGGAGGCTGCATCCAGTTAAGTGACTCTCAGTCCCCAGAGAGTCGTAACTTTAAGGCTGTTTGGAACCCAGTGGCTTTTACCCATATTGTGTTTTCCACAGTGCAAAATGTGCATCAGCCATTTCAATTCACTTGGTACAGTACATGCATTCAGGTAATGGGAGAAAAAACAGCAATCAGAATAGCATATCTACTTCAGAAGGAAAAAAAAAAGTGATCATGATATCCAAGAAAAAAAGGTTTATATCCCTCCCCCGCCCCAAATCAGTGGAATACCCTAGGCCTGTTATGAATGCAGTAGTTAAACGTACGATGATATGGTGTTTTGGTAGAAAGCAAGTCTCTCCATATTCAAGCAATCACCTTAAGAACAAGCCCAATTATTTGTTCATACATAGAAAATTGCTGAAGATGAAATGTAATTTCCATTGAGTGAATGGAAGAGTAGAATATTAAAGAAAAGCCCTGAATGTGTGTTGGAGTGATGCCCACTTGATTTTCTGAAACCAAGAAAGAGCTTGTGCTCCCACAGAAATTGCTGTTCAGTAACATTAAAACCTGTATGTCTATTCATTAGGAGAAACCTAGATGCAGAATCCTAACATTAGGCATCTAGATTTGACATTTTTGGTTGCAGTACATACCTTAATAGGAAATTCTTAAAACAAACAAACACCACCCCACCCACCCACACCCAACAAATCAAATCACAGAAGTTATGGAATTTTAAAAGCTATACTGACTCCCACCTTAACATACACATTAGTTTGCAAAGTCTTTTTTGCACACTTCACCAGTAATCGATATGTACAGTACAAAAAAATATTTAGAAATGAAATCTGAACACTTTAATCTGCAGGGAGACAACACATTTGATATATATCAAGACATGATGTATCTGCCAATTAGAGGATGATATTTATATGATCTAGAGTGATTTTCTCCCCACACACGCTAGATGATTGCACTGATTATTAATTCTTGATTTTCATTTGGAAAGTATAATAAATCCACCGTTCTTTTTTTCAGTAAAGGAAAATAATCCTACTTCAGTGGATTCAGGGTGTGTTATGAACATCCCAAGTCAATTAATATCTGCGCAGAAATGTTTCATTTGGTAAGAAAACTTTCCAGATGAATGTTTATTCAGAAGCTGCTTATAAAAGTGGCTACTTGTAGGGACTGGAAAGAAGAGTGGAAGGAGACAGGGAGCAATAGTGTTGTACCAAAATATATAAAGAAAAATTTAAAGCTTTTCAATTAAAAAAAATTGTATATTCAACTCTCATTAGACATAGATGTGCACAACAGACAGAACAGTTAGAAACAAGTACATTTTTACAAAGCTTTCTTTTCATGGTTAATTTCTACCAGCACTTTGGAAGGTAACCTACTAAAATGATGACCCTGTTTATAATAAAGGCGCAAAATATTGCTCTGTAGCATATTTTGAAAATAATATAAAAATAATTTCTATATTACAATTTAAACTTGGCTTGTAAAATTCCAACATAATACAGCCTTAAGTCTACAAACAGAACATACTTAGAAACACCTTTGTGGTTTTTTCCTCTCAATTATAACAATATAGTATTTTTAGTCATATACACTGGAAATTAATGTGCAAATTAAAATCAATATTAGTGCCTGTTATTGAAATAATTTAAATTCTATGCTGTATACCATTTGGTGATCCTCTATGTAAGCTGCCATACCTTAAAAGAAATACGCTTCAAGTACACTGACAGAGACTTAAAATACACTAAGCTGAAAAGCCATCTACAATCAGCATCAGTTATTTTGCTTTACTGGACCTACATTTATTTGAGATTATTGTGGTTTCTATCAACATACGGGTTTCTAACTGTGCAAAAACATTCCCAGTGTTATGAAGACCTTACTCCCGTACTAGCTCATACCCTATTCTCACATCCAGCTTTCAAGCTGTGCGTCTGTGAAGCACCTGGTTTAAGGCCCCCACTGCTGACGGCATTCTGTTCACAGATTTCAGAGGACAGCAGATTTCATCCAAGAGGCCTAAGGCATCCCCCTACACCTCAGGCAAAATTCTCATCGATTCTCTCACTGGAAGAGCAACAACTGGCAGCCTGAGGGGAACAAACACTGGCTAAAGGGCTCAGGCCTTGATCCCACAAACATTTATGGTAAGTTTCTTAACAGTTATGTTAAGTTTCTGAAAATGTGCAGTCTCCTTGACATCAGGAAGACTATTCATATTGGTGAAGTTGAGCACCAGTGTAATTGCTTGCAGAATCAGAGAGTTGGAGGGCAGTATTTTGTCAGATCCGTGCTGTGCATTTTTTGATATCTACACATTCATCATCACAAGAGAAGTAGATTACCCTGAATATGCCTGTATGTACAAGGACTGATATTGCCTCAGCAGACTGCTTCGATCTGCAGTCAAATGGTGCACAAATCCACGTTAAGCATCTCTCCTCAACGCTTTCTGTATCAAGTACCACTGTTCATCTCATGAGTTTTGCAGTTTTAGAAAAGACGACTCTGAAGACTTCACTTGGCCTAGTTAGACTTATTAAGAAATAAGCAACACAAAGCCCTCCAAATATAGCATCTTTCTTTAACTGATTCTTCTTATGCTATCTTTGACTTAGGAAGAAAGGACCAAGTGCTAAAGAAAGCTGGGTCACACATTATATTCCATTGCATTTATAAGGCTCAATGAACTATATTAGCAAAAGATTAATCAATCATTTTAAAATCCAAAACATCTTAAGTTGTTTTTGATAATCTATGCCACCTTCTTCTGAATGAGCTGCTTGTTAGCCACTTGCAAGTGATACCCACATCTGAAGAAATACTTGTAAAGTCTGGCAATATATTTATTAACTCTTTATAAAGCATTCTAAATGAAACTTTAATATAAAGTGTGACTGAAATATATTATGTACTAGAAGCCTCCTCTATTATGAGCAGACCTTTGTATCCAAGTTTAAGAACAAAGTAAAAAAAAAAAGTTTGCATTAAAAAAAAAAAGTTTGTATAATAGGTTTCAAGACTTTTTTAAAGTAGAAAAAATGCACACACACACACATTTGAAAAATTCCAGCTTCTTCCAACCTAAATATCTCCTAGTGATTTTGTATCTATTCTGGGAAGGAATAGCCTACCCAGGATTTAGTCTGTATTTTGGAATCTGGTACTGTATCAAGGAGAAAAAAAAAAAAAAGCACACACAATTGCAAAAAGAAGCATGTGCATTGCAGCCACTTGAGCTAACAGAAGACATGAACAGGGTCTCCAAAACCAAAAGTGACTTCTGTACAGCTTGGGCAAATTGGTAATTCTAACAAGCTCTGAAAGGTAAAGGGGGTAGATCAGGCATGGAGATGGACTCACTGATATACTTTCAACATAAGAAAAATTGACACAAAAGAACAGTCAAAGGTTAGCTATTTAGTGCAAGAACAAAATACATTTGAAGATTATGGTTTCTCACAGCCAGATAAGGAATGGCATGATTTCTTTCAAGGCTGGTGAATACAACTCACAAAGTTGGGAATTCTCTCTGAAAAAAAAAAAAAAAAAAACAAAAAAAAAAACAGGTAGAAAATAGCTTTTGTAACTATAGTCTGCTTTTAATGGGACACTCACTTCCTTCAGAAGGAAACTGTTTCTGTGTATCTGGACTGTTTAATTCCAAATATGGTGTCCCTGGTAGAAAACTGACACAAATAGAGATGCATCTGCTCAGAATTTAAAATAACAATAATCATCATCATCAGTATCATCACAATAACTCTTGGGGGGAGGGGAGAAGGGAGGAAACAACTGAGGAAAAGACAGGTAAGATTTTAACTGAAAAAAATTCTCAAAGCAAGCAGGAATATTAAGCAAACTTTTTATAAAGAGTTATCAAGAAAAGGACTCTGAGGAGACTGGCACAACTAAAAAGTGTTCTATCATTACATCATGTAATTTTTTTTTTTTTAAATGAGCAAACAGTAGTGGTTAATACTTATGGGAATATTTGAGTGACTAAGGACGAGAGTAAACACTATCCTTTATAGAAAAGCCTATTGTTATTCAGAGGACCAATTAATTTCTCAAAATAATCTAACACAGACACAATCTCTATTCAGTAATTTAGAAGCGAGTCATAATCTAAATATTAGCCTTCTGCATACTTATTTGTTTTGGGAATAGTACATCTTTAAAACATACTATAGAAACAACCCCTTTGACAAATGGGAACCAGCAAATTCTCATGGTAATTTCTTGGTTTTACATATGTGCTGTTATTTTTCTCCTTATTCAGAAAAGGATACAACTGATTCATACGTGGGCTGGTGGAGTTTGCTGCTAATGTAATACTTCTTAAGTACAACTTCACACAGAAGCATTTCTCTGAGTATCAAATGCTACTGCTACTCTGATGGTCTAAGAATTCCTAAATACCCGAATATTTCTTAATTTGATGAAGTTTTATCCTGTCAATTTTATCCATCTCAGCAGCAAATACAATCAAATACGATGCTTGATTTAACATAATGTGACCTGCTTTAACATAATCTGAAATCACAGATTTCTTTGGCAATGAAAATTTGCATGTAATCACAACAGTTAACCAAAAAAGGACACTGCTTACCAGTGTTTACAACCAGAGACATGGGATTTAGAATCTGCTTACCTTAAGCAACGAAGTCACATTGAGTTTTAACTTTTCATTAACCTCACCAAAATTGCCCTTTTATGTATGACTGCAAATTTAGTGACATCCAGTGTATGCTCACTATACTACAAGAAATATGAAGTACAGGTCTGGATTCATGGAACAGCTTTTAGGGCTTCTTAAAAGTGGCTAGCAGACTTATTTTTAAAGCATTCTTCAAATCTCCCATCCAGCAGAAAACCTAAACATATGGTCAATTTTAAGCATATGCTCAGTTTCACAAATTTCTGTGGGACATTACCAAACACCTATGAGCTTTTCCTAAAAGCAAGTGAGCATCAATATTAGATTGTGCATCATCTTTCACAGACTACTTCACACTTAGCTTCAAGACTAACTCACATTAACTGGACACAAGTCAAATGGCATCACCCATGCAAAGAATAAAAACAAGGGTACAGCAGGAAAGAATGAGAAATGATTCCTGGGAAAGAATCTCTTTTGTGCAGGCCAGAGAAGTGCTATTCTATAATGTGTAAGGTAAAACTCATGTTCTGCACCTTTAGTTGGCAGAGCAAGCAGTCTTGAAGGCAACACTTCACTTATTTGTGGAAAATGAGATCTTTCTCAAAAAAAAAAAAACAACGACATAGGTAGACAATAGATGAACTGTTGCTTTCAAGGGTAACTTCTTACTATATTCTGCCAGTAGGCAGTAGAGGGGTGTAAAAACTGCATATGGTGTTATCAGGAAGACTTGCTAATTTCATACATCTACTTTAACAGTATTTCTGTTCATTTACAGAAATGTTTCTATGAACAAAGTTGTATTTTCAAAGGTACTCCAAAAACTTACATAAATATTTGGTTTCAGACTTGTGCAAATCTGCACTAGGAGAATCATACTTGGAGGTACTTTAAAGCCATCTTGGAGCTTCCTGGCAGATGAAGAACTCACTGCAGGAGAAGACTAAAAAAATAGGTGGAGTCAAGTGTCGTCAACAAATGCTCAGAAGTGATTATGTCTGCAACAACTAACAAACAACGATGTTGGGAAAGGAATAAATAATGATTAAACTCATATAATGGTTAAGGGAATCCACTGATGCGATACATTTGTTTGGACAAGCAGTTCATTCAGCACTAAACTAATCCTAAATTTCCTAGCTAGCCATCAAATTTTTCAAATCTCATTTTTCTTATTTTAATATTTCTTCCAATTTTAATAACAATGAAAATAGAACTGAGATTCCAGTGCCCGAAACCATACTATGTGTAGGGTTTTTTTGTTTTGTTTTTTTAGGAAGTGAAGTCTTGCAGGTCATAATGTATCTTTTATAAAACTTGTTTAAAAAAACAGTAGAAACAAAATTGTCTCAAATCTACTTTTTCATGGAAACATAGAAATAACTGGTAAGAACTTAAAATTAGGAAAAGCTACAGCCTTCATGAATTCAGACCTTTCACTTCCAGTTTCCTAGAATCGCTCCAGACTAAAATTTCAGACTAAAGTACAAACATTAGTAATAATGCAATATACTGCCATGTTAAAAACGTGCATTATGCAAAACCCACTACTCTCCTGAAGGAAAAAAAAAAAAAAAAGCTATTAAAAATTTAACTTTTACTGAGGAAAAAAATACTCTCATAATCATTATAGAATTTCAAATGTTTACAAGGCAGATACTACCCTACTGCAACACCACATCTCCAGTATTATGACTTTCCCCTATCATACTACTACCTGAGTGATGTCAGTGTAAATTCAGGCACCATTAGTAAATTTTTGACCAAACATATACACAGCACTGACAAAGTAGTAAACAACCCTTCAGCTTACCATTATATGTAAAAAAGACACTGACAAAATGGAAAATAATATATATATTTTTTATGATAAATTAATCCTATTATTTCCTCATTGCCCCGGAAAAGCGAAAAGCTAGACACTAATTTACTCATCAATCCTTTATTCTTTTTGTAAGGATTCCTTTTACTGCAATTCAACACTGTTTACTTTGTAAGTAAGAAAATGATAAAACTAAATAGTCACAGAAGAATCCTCAATGCCTGTGTCCCTTGCTTTCTCTCTCCCTGCGCTTCAACTCTTCTTTGTAGCAGTATGAACAGTAATTTTCAGTCTCAGGACGACCATAAAAGGAACAGTTATCCTTCTTACAGCGGTTCTGCTGGATGGGATATATTGGGCAAACTGTGCTTCTGCCTTGATTTTTATCATTGTTCAACCAGGTCTGAGGAGCATCCTCATCAGCATATTCTAAGCAGTCTCTAATATCGCCGGTATTGAATCCATTTGTGTATGTCTGAGACTTGTGTTCAGTAGGCATGGCATAGCTCAGCGATTCCACTGTGTTCACCGTACGGATTCCAGATATCCGGGCTGGGCTGTAGCTCTGAGAAGACAGGGATCTGTTCTGCTGGGGGTACGTGGCACAGGTTTTTAAGGTGCCGACAACTGGCTTGTAGGTATCATCTTGGAAGCTCGATGGCTTGGAGTTGACATCATGCAGATGGATGACACTTTGCCTTTGAACAGGTGGTGTATGGCTATAGTGGGCAGAGACTGGGATGGGGCCGCTTCTCTTAGCACCGTTACTAGGTGAAGAAAATGACCCAGGCGTGGGACTAGTGCGATCTTTAAATTTTAAAACCAGTTGAGTTGTATGGCTTTGAGGCAAGACAGGTGATGCCCTATCCTGAGGAGATGCTTCTAACTTCTCTTTTGAATACGCTTCTGGCTCCAGTTTCTTGGTAGAGGACCCATTCAGTGCAGCCTTTTTCTCAGCATCCTTTCTTTTCTGTTCCTGCTCTGCATTGAAACGCTCCTGTGCGCTGGTCAGGTAATAACCTATCATCTCCTCGTGGAACTGATGCCTATGGCTGGTCAAAAGAAGGCCAGCAAAAATAAACTTGCGTTCACCCTGCATGGCAGCTCTCAAAATATTGAGGCTGAGTTTCACATCAGTGCTGTACTTCCATGGGTCAGACTGCTTGTCGGAGAAAGATTTAGTGTTCATCTTCTCAATGGGTGAGTTGCTAGCTCTGTCAGTAGGAGATGGAGTGGTCTTTTCAGACGGAGAAGTGCTTGCAGACTGCCCAGATTCCTCTTTGCTCCCTTTTCGAGACTTAGACTTCTTCTCTTTGACTTTCTCTACAGTGTCACCATTTTTCCCATTTCCTGAATTTGCCCTGCTCATTTTGCCATGCACCAGGCCTCCGAGACCACCCATATTCTTTTTCAGTTTAATTCCCAGGCTTTTACTGAGGCTTCCAATTTTATTGGCAACTGAATCCGTCCTGTTTTTGTCTTTATCTTTCCTCTGTTTGTCCTTTTCTTTTTCTTTACTGTTTTTGCCATTATTGCCGTTGGAATTACTACAGATGGAATCCCGGTCCGAGTCCATTGAGTCAGCCAGAGACTGAACATCTTCCCCAGCTGAAGCTGTAGGGGATTCTGGTTGAGCCAAAGGGGCCTGCTATGGAAAATTAACTATAATTAGGTACAGCAAAATCAGTTTCATATAAGGAGTCCATGCAAAAAAGACAAATCTAATATAGACTTTGACATTGATTTTAAAAGCCTACTTTTTAATTTACACACTGACACTTTAGACTTGTTTCTTCACTTATTTGGCTGTGCTATCTATCTTGCTTGATCTTACAATCCTGGCTCATTTCAAGCACGTTTGTAGAGTAGAGGTCAGTCAGCCAGCCGTTCTGTGAAAATTAGTGTCTGAATAACAGGGAAAGGCAAGTTAGTGCTCCTGTCAAGGGGTCTGCAGCTCAGCTTCCCTGGTTGCATTGACTAGCAGAGCGGCTGGCCAGTGTATAGAGCCCAGCCACTGCATTGGAAGCATCCTCAGTGCTTGCTGCCTCTCAGCCAGGCGGGAGACAGCCTAGAAAGAAACTGCTACCACTGTGATGGGAAGGAAGCGAGGTTCTGCCGAAAGCTGTGAGGGGGATGCAGCACACAAACCTGTCTGCAGTAATATTTCAAAATACACGATGTTCACAAAACAACTTACATAAATTAATGTTCAGGTTCCTGTACATGAAAACTGAAGTTACAATGCCTCAGAGCTAAACAACTTGCCTGACATGTTAAATATTAAACTTAAGCAAACAGACTGAAGAATACAATGACATATCTATTTGTTCTTTATCTATTTGTTCTTACTGGAAATACAATGCAGGTAAAACTGATGCAAGGAGTGTGAGTTCCGAGTTAGGTTTTAGATAAGGTGATAAAGCATCTTCTTGAAAATGCAGTTACAAGGATCCTAAGAACTTTAAAATTTGGCTGCATTTATTTAGTCCTGCAAAACTTAGTCTTGCATTCAAACATCATGAAGCTATAATCTGCTGAAGTTAAGTTCAAAACATGCATACAAAACATAATGAAGTAGAATAGCTCTGGAGATGTATTTATTTCCACTACAGAAATGTGCACCTCTTGTCCCCGAGTGCTTAGATGTTGTTTCTCTAGAATCCCTGAGCACCTCGTCAACCAGCTGGGAGCAGAGCTGTCACTTGGCAAAGGTGGAAATGAATGCTGAAGTGACTTGCCCATGCTCGCATGGCAAATCCAAAGCAGGGAGAGGCAACCCTGGTCCCACAGGTTTCAGGTTCACAGCTTACAATTACAGGACCATTTTGCCTCTCCTTTTTCTGATGTGGTGGCTACCACATTAGGGTGAAACTGTAGAAAAATGGATTTTTTTCCCCTCCTGCAGCTTGTTAAATCCTGTCTCCTTTTGTGTTGTGTTCCTCCTTTCAAATACCATCTGTGTAGGCTGTCTAAATCACCTTCATCCTCTCCTAGCAACCTTTTGCCTCTAGACTAACCTCTCAATCTATTCAATGTAATTTGCAGAGAAATTTGCAGCTGACAAGGTGCCAGCTGGGCACAGTTCTAAAGCAGTTTTCTGAAAGAACCAGGCTCCAGTTCAGTGCCAGTCTGCGGCCTTTTGTCAGCCACTCTACACTGGGAGCTGTCCAGGAGTCCAAATCTGTTCTCAAAAACAGAAAGGATGAGGGACTGGTGACATAACAGTGGCACCAGGAGAGCAAGCCAAAGTTCTGAGAAAACTGGCCAGAGAAGGATTTTTTTAAGGTTTTTCTGAACTGAAATAAATAAAAGAAAGATAAAGCTAGAAAATACACTTCAGAACAGAAATACGAGTTGCAAAAATGTACAAGTAACTGTTTTAAAAACAAAAACCTATAAAAGCTGCAAGCCAGATGGCAGTGACAATGTGCCACAAGTGACTTGCCTCTGCTGCTAGGACACTAGGTGGTTCTAGGCAGCTGCCCAGTCCATGCAGCCTACTCCACACAACACCCTGCTGTACCTCGTTATCACTGATTTGGTTTAAATTAAGGAAAAGTTTACCTTACCCGTGTCTCAGATGGTATGCGTATCCATGTTACATTCATATAGCTGTGCAGAAGATTAAGCTTTGCCTCGAGAGACAGAATCAAACTAAGGATGAAAACAGAAGGGAACAAACAGTCAAAAACACTCCAAAAGAGAAAGCAATACTTCACAGGGAGAGGCCGCACTGCTCAGCGTAACAGCAGCCTCCCACGCAACCAGAAGACGTGAACAAAGCCCTCTCTGTTAGCAGTTCTCTCAATACTTAGATCAGGTATGGCTCAAGACATTTTACTGCTTAATACTGAAGTTACAGAAAGGTCTTACTTGGCCAGTCTGGTGTTATCATTGTCATCTTTTCCCCACTCCCAGTCTTTCCCAGGATCAACCGCAAAGTGCAAAGGCAGTAGCTTGTGTTCAGAGTCAGTCAGGGGGATCACCGCTGAAGTAGAGAAGAAACAAGGATTGGAGGGGAAGGAACAAAAGACCTAGCTGTGAAAAGCACTTACAAATAAGAAGGGTAAAGAAAAAGGCCAGAAAACAAATGTGCTGCAGAATTGTCTCATCTGTATTTAAATGCTTGTGTGATAAAGAGGGGAGGGAGGGGGTAATGCACTGATCGCTGCTGGCATGAAGGATAGTCACCAGTGGAGGAGGGGAGACCTCTGGGAGAACAACATTGCCATTTTGTAATGCACAATAAACATTTCCTGGAGACAGAACATCAGAACAGTACAAAGCAATAAAATGTTGAAATATTCCACCCGTCCTGCCTCTCACACAAACGCTCACACATGGTAATTATTTTGCCTTTTCAGGTTAGTACCGTTTGGTTTTCCACTGTCAAAGAATAAAGATAGCAGCATTATGTGACAAAGCAAAAAGTAGTTACAGGGCTTTGGGACTCAAACTGTGAATTAGTGTAATTGAAGAGCAAAGATCAGCATATAGATGGGCTAAGAGGTCAGGTTAAGTCCTGTCTTGCGTGCGGTGTTAGGACCATTACCGCTGTTATATCCCAGCATTACTGTCTGGGTGTTTTAGCGCTTCTGTTCTCTTGCCTCTGCTAGAGCTCTCTGCCTTTTAACATATCTCAATGACTCTGCTTTATACTCAGCATGAGAGGGACTGCAGGCTGGTTTTACAGAGTGTCTATCATTCATCACCAATAAACTAAGAGAAAAGCACCGTCAGCTTTAATTAAAGCCAACAATTTGCTTCCATTTCATTAGAAAACACACTTAAAGCTGTTGAGGGACTGGGGTGGATCCTCAGCACGATGCAGGTCACTGCTGTTCCTCTGACAACCAATGAAGGAATCTAATTTTCTGTACTGTAGGCTTTAAGGACTTTGCCTGCGTAGTCATTCCAGCCAAGCCAAGCAGCAAAGAATCAGGGAGAAGTCACCCAACAGCATGGCAGTGATTACTGAAAGTTTATTGCACTTACTGCTTATGTGTTGCTTACAGTATTTCCTGCATTTCAGAAAATACATGTTGTCAAAAACAAAGGCACAGTATTTTTGGTTAAGCATTGCTCTCCCCTAGCAACATGCAGGAAATATAATCTGCATTTTTGATTGGCATGGTGAAGTCAGTATTAGGTTCAGGCAGCCTCACAACAACTGCAGAAAATACGCTTATTTTTCATCTTCTCTGCAGGTTGGATAACGAAGCCATAAACTCTACAAGTGTCGGGGAAACGTTGCCCCCTACTGTTTATTGTAAGTAATTTCTGAAATATTTTCCCCCTATTAACTAACTGCAAATACAGTATAGAACAGCTGGAGATTCATCAACTACAGCTGCCCACGTTCCTTTAAGATACGAGCACAGAAGTGAATATTGTAAGGGAATTTAGCTCCAAAGGAAACTCAATGGGAATAACAGAGTCCAACTCTATACAGCGCAAAATACACTGTAAAGCTCGCTGTTGAAGCACAAGAGCATAAAGGTAGAGCAGGGGTGGGAACTGAATCATTTTTATTAACACTTATTGTTGTAAATTTGAGGGCTTACCCTACTGCATTCCGTGCAGTTTTTGCAGCAAAAGGGGGTGGAATAACTGAGAACACAATTAACTGATGGTGTTTCTAAAGGAAATTGGATATTCTGCCAATTAAGTTAATTATACAGAGAGCAGGTACTGACTGGATTTACCAATGACCTCACGATGCAATATATCTACCACCTAAAGGAAGAAGGCAACTTAGGAAAGTGCTGCATGGTAAGCTTACAGCCTAGCAGGGCCCTTCTGCTAGCACCTGGCCACATGGCTACAACCCAGGAGAGAACCAGAAGAGTGATCCTGGGGCAGGCAGAGGGGGCAAGCTCGGACCTAAGAACTGCTATAGAGTGTATTTGCCTCTTTGAAACAAAGCCTTAGAAAGTCAATTTGATTTTCTTTTCTGACAGCATAACGCTAATTAGTTTTCATGTAGTTCAATAATTAATAATTTACAGAAACAAATTTTAAAGGAATCCTTTCTAAAGCTAGCTGTTTCGAATAGCTAAATGATGCTAAAAATGCACCTTTTAAAATGCTTACTGATAATAAATTTTATTAAAACCTTAATTTCTAAGTACAAAACAAAGCTTAGATGTGATTGCCTATAAAGTGTCACTGTTACCTTATTTGCATGGTATGACATCACGGTCTCCATCTTTACACAGGAATTTATGTTAACTAAGTTTCTCAAACTGAGTGGAATAGAAGCCATATACTCATTTTCTTATGGGTAGTTTGAGGTTGGTATGACACACTATCATCTTCCTGCAAAAGGTATCTTCTAAAGTAATTTTGGAGTTTTAAAATTCTAAAATTTATAATTTTAAAGTCCTAGTGCTAACAGATGGAATATGTCAAAAGTAACAATGATTATTTCCTCCATGTCAGTTTGAAGACACACACCAAGGACTTTCTTGCTATTCTTAAGTTTGGTGCACTGCCTTCCATGCTGTGAAGTCACAGGGTTTCCTAGCACTCATTTTCATTGGCATGAAAATGGCATTGTTTTTCTTCTTCATAAAAGAACACTAAGCATTTCTCAAAACCCTATAAAAGCAAAATGCTGATGCAGATGGTGATGTACTGCTGTTAAAAACCACCGTCAGGACTCTCATGCTTGTTATTGCAACCTGGCAGTGGGGAGCTGTTTCACTGCTGGCTGGCTGACAAAGGGTGGGAGTGTGGGAGGCTCTATGTTCAATGAAGCAGTCTTAGGGGAAGCTAAGAACCAATCTTTATTTTCCATAATCAAAGCTATAAAACACCTGCATAAACAGCCTGAATATGAATATAAAAGTATTTACAGGTTTTTGATCAGATATTAAGAGTATAAATATTGCGACCCTAAGTTATGAATGACTGGGTTATCAGAGACGTACTTCCATTTAAGAAGTCATAGCTTTACACTCTCAGCTGCATTCTAGGAGGTCAAAATCTGGCCATGTACGGTGGCACCTGTGCCACCCTATTCTGACCCCTACTGCTGCGGCTCTCCCTTCCTCTATGCCAGAGCTGCCAAAATCTCTATGTTGGCAAGATACAAGAAATGGGCATTATTAAAGCATCCTTGTGCCAATCTATTTCCTGTCAGAGCATTTGAAGAACAACAGTAATGCTGTGTTAGCTGTTAGCAGTCTCTAACAGCAACAAGCTTTGCAGCTGAAAGCTAAAGCATTCCCTTCATCCCAGATTTAATACCAACTGCTTTGCTGCTCCACAGAATTGAAGCCTGTGTATTCAAGGCCCTGACGTAAAAACGTGTAAAATCTGATCATACAAAACAAATATATTTTGAATCAACAGACCTCGTAATTAACTGCAATGAACTTATACATAAACAAAGCCAATATTTGATGTTACTAATGCTGTACTGGATATTCGGGAGCTTTTTCTCTCCCAGCACCTTTCCTTTATGAATATGAGTGCAGGACAAGCACATAAAAATTTCTAACCACAAGAAGAATATTTAACAGTATTTACAATATTTACTGCTAGTATTTGTGGGAGAAATCAAATACGTGACCTTGTTACCAAAGATCTTATTGTGTATCATTAACAGGAATATGTGGCTTGTAATACTGGATATACCGCTGAATGCACTGAGCAGTAGCCTTCTTCACTGTCTTTTGTCAATCACATCACTTAGAAGATGCCACAATAGCAAAAGGTTACTAAAACAGAGTGTTATAGTATAATTACTGTTTAATTTATAGTATAATTACTATAAGTATATTACTATAATTACTATTATGCTAATAATTTATATGTAGTTTTCCTAAGGTGTACCTAGCTAAAAGAACTCTTACTGCTGATAAAGATTATTATGGTATACAAGCTTGAGAAAAATAATTTAACATGTATTTGAAGAACACAAAAAAGGTAAGCACTATGATGCCTCTGAGCGAAGAAGCCCCTGCTTACATCCAACAGTGACAACAGTTTGAGTAAGCACACCTAAATTAGCCTTAAATAGTCTGCATGCTAACAACAATAATAATAATAAAAGAAAAGCCATTAGAACATTAAAGCAATCTGTGAAAGCATAAATAGGCAGTAATTGAAATAACTATAGCACGACCATAATGTTCCACAAACCCTGGCAGAGATAAGTTTTTTTCCTTTGTTGTTTCTTTTTTAAACAAGGACGTTTCTTATTTTGCACCTACATCAGGCCTTCACTGACAACACCTGACAGCAGCATTCAGTGACCAAACACTCTGACTAGGAAAGCCATTAATACGGCCCAAATTGACTGTAGGTCTACCTTCTTGTGGACTTCCTTGTAGACAGTGATAGTTCAAGGATTAGACGTGAAGGTTCTTGGCTCCTGGTTTAAACCACTTAGGTTTAGACTTCTAAGGATATATCAATAAAATTTGGTAGACATTGCTTCCTCTCTGATAGACAAATACACTTACAGGTTGACGAAAGTACTTTGTACATTGTGTTCAATACAAGCATACCTTGTTCTCTCTGTTGATCTTTTTGTTCCATGGAAACAAGGGCAGAGAAATGTGCCTGATCGTAGGCTAGAACAAGGGGTGAGCAATGACATCTGTTAGGTAGAACTTCAAGTGGCAAATAAATTCCTCCAAATGGTATAGGTGCAAATGCTGCAAAGAAAAATTAGATTATTATTATTAACTATGTCAAAGAACAAACACTTAGTTTAATTATATTGTGTAACGGTTGTAACAGTTGTGCTACATCATTTTCAGAGCTCCAGGAGAACAGCAGAGAAGTGGAGAAATCAGTTTGGGAAATAGTCATAACAACAGGTATATTTCCAGACAGTTTTATCATGAAAATTTACTAAGAACAATAATGAAACCATTCTGCCTTCACATATGTTTTCCTTAATGCAATTGTTCACTAGGAAAGACATTATGGTCTTTTAACAAAATCTTGATGATTCTTAAGTGTTTGCTGCATTTCTAAGGGCAGCAAACTCTCTCCTTTGAAAGATTCCACACTTTGTTTTATATAATTATGGGAAGAAACAGCACATTTGGGCAAAAAAAGTCTCTCAACATGCCTGTTTCTAACCAATGATTTTTCCTTTTGCTGTGAAAATACGAACCCATATTGCTGAAGTATTTCCAAAGTGATCATAAAGAAAAAATGTATGCAAACAACACACTGCTTTTTGTAAAGACTTTTTCTCTGAACAGGTCTGCTGTGTTCAAGCTTTGGGATGATGAATAGTATTGTCTTTTAAGTAGAAATCTACATTTTAGTGAGTCTCCAAATTTGATGAGGTTATTAGTCTTTTGGAAAACCTATACTTTATACATACAAGAGTTAAACTGGGATAATTTGATCACCTGGTCCATGAGGCCAGCAATGAGAAGAACATTGGGATTAATGTAACAATCAGATTGGGTCAAGTAGAAAAAACTGAGCGAGTGGAGAAAACTGGGATAAGAAAAAATATGAGAAAGTTAAGTAATAGTGATTGACTCTGTTACAGCAGATAGCAATCATACAACCATTATTTGTAGTTCAAAAGTCGAAGGAATCTGGGATTACTCAGCATTTTTCCATACAAGTAAATTTCTATTTTCTATTTTCATGTGTTTCTCATTCCCTTTTACTTAGGCAACATACTATCATCAATTAGTTCATGGTAAAAAGTGAAAGAGATCATTGCTGCTCTGCTCAGACAGCTGACCAAGTGGTTCCACATATGAATCTAACATTTGAATGTTCACATGTGTAAACTGAATAAAACATTCTGAAACATTTGAATGAGAGGGTGGCAAAGTTAGTAAAAAAAGAAAGAAATTCAAAATTCAATTTTTCCATATCAAATTAGATTAATTTATGCAGAGTTTTATGTAGAACCAAAATAACACAGCAAAATTAGAACCTTGTTAGCCTAGCCCAGTAAGAAATGTATTGTGTTCTGTAATTCCTTGGTTATTATGTTAATAGGAAGTAACTAGGATAAACAGATTTTCTGTGAGACTTATATAATTACCTTGCATTTTCTACTTTGATCTAACAGGTCAAATATCATTTTGCTCTTTCAGAAAAAGGCAGCAGCTACCATATAAATACTCAGATATGTTACATCTAGGTCCTTTATTGTGTGTGAAAGCTTATGACTACTTCAATTTACATAGGTGTATAAAGTTACAATGAAAAAAAAAATCTTACCTTCTCCCCCTGAGTCTCGTAACATTGTGTCTGCTACTACAACAATAGGTCTTCTTAAAATATGGGCTAAGACAAAAACGTGGAACTCTTCTAAGCTCTCATATACTGGATCTTCTGAGTTATCAACTCTGGAAGACACAGAATTGAAACATTAGTGAACCAACACACTGGAACAGCTATTTCCTCTGCCTTGTCATTTATATCCTACTCTTCTGAAGCACACATTCCAATTATTGAAACGGGTAACAGAAGAAATTGGAAAAGAAAAATATATTTTTGGAAATATAATAATAGCAACAGAGATAATGTTTTTACTTGCAGACTCCATACTAGTTTAGTAGTCATCAGAATTCATTATCTTCTGATATTGTTTGGTAGCCCAGCAGGAATAATAAAAAAAAAAAAAAAAAAAAAAAAAAAAGAAGTAATTCTTAAGCAAACTCCTGGTGTAAAGCTATTTCCACCGCAAAAAAAAAAAAAAAAAAAAAAAAAGAACACACAAAATCAAACAAACAAACAAAAAAACCCATCATTTCTTGTGACACCCTTGGCAGAGAGACTCTAAAATGGAAAAATAAGTGTTTCTAATTCTTCTAAACAAAATACAGGTGTGTTACCTTGGCAATGTAAGAAATACTGATGTCAACCTGAGTAGGAAGAACGTAACTTAGAAAGTTGTGAGCAGAACTTTTTTCCTTTATATTATTAGCAAAATATAGTTTGTTTGCTTGTTTTTAAGATGGGGAAGGTTTCCTGTCTAAATAGCTGGTGATTCATTTTGCTGTCAGCCTTCCCAATGGGATGAATTACACCTACCTTTACACATCTGAAACGAGAAGTCTAAGCACTTCACCTTGAACACCTCTATAAATAATTTAAGAAGATAAGCACATCTGGAAGTAGGATCATTCCTTCCACTTAAGCACTTGCCCGAAGATGAGATGAAAATTTTCATTTTTCTTTACAGAATACAGAAGGAATCTAGATCAGTATGTAGGGAAGTGAGACAAGGCCAAGTGTTTTTGCCACTGGGACTTTGTATTTCAGAAAACTCACTGAAAGAATCAATACAGGTATCTTATACGGCAGGACTGTAGGGCATGAAAGTAAAACAGTAAGACAGCACGACAGAGAACCCCTAATTTTTTCTTTAAGTTCACCTTCTAACGGGTCTGATGCAACTACTGCTGAAATTAATGAGTCTTTCCATTCTCTTCATCTAGCTAGTGCAGATACAGAGTACTTCAGAAAGCAGAGAGGTAATATTTCATTTTCAGATTAAAATAAATAGCTTACTCAGTAGTATTACAAGGGTCTAAACAGTATTAATACTCAAGCAGCTTCACGGCGATCAAGTAATTTAAAACAAAGAGAAAAAAAGTGCTATTCTTGGAAGGAATTAAAAAATTGTTGTAAAATCTAATGAGGACAATTTGAGCACTTGAAAAGTCTTCCACCTTTGTTGTTTTTCTTTTCAAAGTTTTTACATATGGCAAAGTTTTTACATGGCAAAATAATGGAAATGCCTTTCCAAACCTAGTTCTCCAAGATAAGGGTATTAACTGGTAGTACTTTTTAACTGACAATATAGTGTTTTGTGTCCAAACCAGCATAAATAGTCCTAAATTTCCAAGGTAGCCAAAAGGAATAATTACCTGCTAAAAGAATTTGATAAAGTACACAGTATTTAAGAAAAAAAGACTGAGCAATCCCAATTCTATCTGAAGCATTCTACTTCCTCTATAAAAACATAACGCATCCTAACATTTAACCTTTAGCTTTAATACCAAAAATACTTGCTTTTCTTTCTGTAAGTTTCAGGGTTAAGAGCACGTTGAAAGTAGAAGTGTGAAGAGTTACTTGATAACTTGCCCCTGAGAAAGATCTCTCTAAAGATTTTCCATGTTTGAACCACAAAGCAAAAAAAGGACTTCTGGATGCAAAGTACCCTCACATTAGCATGGCAACCATATGAGAAAACTGAATCAGATTGCAAAATATTCTAATGGAAGGTTTCAATAATGGCATTCTACCACGCCAAAAAAGCCCCGACCAGTTTAAAAAGTGGTTTGATGATCCTATAAGCATTGTTCATTTGTACTTTTCTCCTACTGTGAAGAAAAATGAAAACATTTTGTCATACTCCAAACTTACCCACCACCGGTGCCTCCATTTTTGCTGAAATGTGTGCGAGGCTCACTTGATGCCAGCTTAAGCAGTTCATTCCACTCCCGTTCCCATTCTTCTTCTGTATACACTAAACCTGACTATGGGAGAGAACGAACACCATTTTACTGTTATGCTGGTACAAAATCTAAGCAGAATTCTGTAGTGACATTTGCAACCAACTTTTTCAGGCTTTATACAGGTTACAACTTATTATCTTGGGCCATTAATTGTTCAACAACTCTATTCAGGCAGAAAGAACATTAACTTACTAAAAAATATCTAAGACACCAACTGTATACTAGATTACTTTTCAAGATGTGGATCTGATCCAGCTAACACGCTGCTGGTGATCCACTATTTGAGATGCGGTTACTTGTACCCACGTGAATTCTTTGCAACCACAGTTAGCATGCTTTACTGCCCATTTCGAGAGCCTTGCTTTCTTCTCCAATACACGGCACTGCTAGGAAAGCCCTCCTTGGCAGACCAAGAAGTGCTTCTGTGCCCTTTGTTTTCACGTAGCCTGAAGTAGCTGAGTCAATGACAGCTCAAGCTCTATTCTCAGTGACTGCTGCCCACAAAAAGCAGGTTACAAACAAGTCACAAACAACCTGTGAGGGTTGTAGAGAGTCAATGCTGCTGTATTCAGAGATGCCTTCATTCATATTTCCACAGAATGTATTAATTATTTTGTATAAGCTTCACTGAAAACAGATGGTGGCCCTCTCTGCTTTCCAGAGAGCAAAGCAGCCCAGTAGCTCTCCATTAACATCGCATATAAGAAGAAAACAAATGCATAACAACTTTGTTTAACCTTAAAAAAAAAAACCTTAACCAAATAGCAGTTCCCAAAAAATACATGGTGAAGTACAGCTTTTAATCAACAGTTAAGCCAAATCTACAGATGATTTTATTATTATTTTATATATATATACAAACACACACACAAAATAGTTCGTCACAGTTCCAGGAATGCTAGCTCATCACTCTGGGGAAATCTTTCTTAAATGAGGTTTACTTTTTCTTTCTTTCACATATTTCACCCACTCATTTTATAAAGCTTATGATAGCTAATTTATACATTGTATTTTACAGACTAAAATTTTCTACAGGTTCCAAATACGTCCTAGACCTTCGTAGGAACAAAACAGTTCATATTTATGCCCACAAAGCTACAAACACATTTGCATTCTGATGCTCAAATTCTAAATACAAACACATCTCTCTTCCCCCATGCGAAATAGAAATGCAAGGAATTTGATGGCAACTGAAACTTTGACACCAAATTTCTTTTGTTTGTTTTATAGTAAATGATGTTAACAAGTTTGATTTCAAACAGTACAGACCTCCTTATTTTGCTGGGTCTGTTGCCATCTCCATCTTCTTTTCAGTGCTTCCCTTTCAGCTCCACTTCTCATCATAGTGTAGAGTGCTTTCCGTAAAACAAGGTCCCGGTCATGAAATCCCCACATCCCTAAAGCAGCACAAGAAGGCACTCAGTTTTATACTAGCTACAGTGAAACAGCAATAGTAAGTACTAATCCAATGAATATTGCCCTGTACACAAAAGCAGCAGAGATTATACATTATTCAAAATTCTCCTTAGCAAATCATTCATTACTTTTGAAGTTTCCTTAACAAACCAGTCATTATAGATAATACAAAGAACAATAAGAGAAAATTCTAACAAAGTTTAAGCTTTGCTTAAGGAATGACCAAGAATTTGAGTTGTTTCAATATATGCTTACGTGCAACTTAAACTTTGCTGCAAGGAATGGAATATTCAACACACAGGTCTGTTCTAGCTGTAGTTGCCCACAGAGCTTGCAGACACAAGAATGCTAATGACAACTGCAGGCACTTTTGTGCATCTCAGATGATGATCGTGACACCCACAGGCATCCACTCTTACACAGCATGATGGCAAATTTCCTTCGGCTTCAACATCCAAATAACAAGGCAAACACTCCAGATGATTGGAAGTCTAAAAATACAACTGGCCACAGACTTTCAGTCTTGTTTTAAGATAGTTCATGTATCTTCACATAATTGAGAGTAGTAACCTTGACTAAATAGCAGAGCTCTCACCAACATAGACAGTCATGTTTCAATTACTGTATTATCAGCTGCTGGCATTGAATATGCTTATTTCAGACCTTGCAAGTCAAAACACTCCTAACATTAGCTGTAAATAGTATGCAATTCCTCCTAGCTAAAACATGGAGTAGGCAAAGATAAAAGGATCCCTGGAAACACCAATAGCTATTTTCCTACTACTACTTTCCAAAAGATCAGTCTCTTCAAATGATTAAAAACCCGGTGTTTTTGAAAAAGTCACCTTTTGGAGCTCTACTGGCACAAGATTTTAGCAACAAAAAACATTTCCTCATAATATATATGATATGGAAGGCACATCAAAGGCTCTTGGCTTCATAGGTTTTTATTTATTTGATAAAATTTGAAGAAAGGCTTCAAAGATCTTGTATTAATATTTAATTATTCAACCAGAAATTATCTTTAATTCACTTCAAATTGTTTTTCACAGAGTTAAGATCTCCAAGGAATGAACAGGGATAACTACATATTGCATTCCTGAAGATAGCAAAACAACAGTTTAACAAAGTCAGAAGAGAACAAATGCAATTCCTTGCCCACAAGGAGGACAACCCTGCTTAAGCACCTGGATTTTTCTGTTTCAGTGGTGTTAGGTTGGGCTATGTAAGGAAAATGCACATCTCTGGTGTTTATGATAACATGTTTTTGATGATGTTCTAATTATACTTCTGATACTACCTCACGAAATTTATACCTCTATCCCTCAAGCATGCCTACAACAAACAATTCTGTAAGCAAAATTTGAAAATTTGAAATTTTGCTCAAAAACCAAGCTATTACTTAAAGTCTTTGCATTCCATTTGTTTCAGAGTTTTTGCTAGGGATACAAAAAAGTGGTCAATACGTGGCAAGAGGTTCCATGTGCAGACTTTCCCTTACCTAAAGAGGCAGCATGCAAGAGGCAGTTCCCATCACCTGTTGTCGCCAAGGGAAGAAGACGTTTACAGCTTGTACACACTGTGGACCACCAATTTAATCGCCCTGAAAAGAAAGCATCTGTTAAAATGGTGTAGTGGGTACTAACCCAGGATGTGTACAGGCATACGGTGATGATGTGTAATATTGAAGGTTAACCGTGAACAGCCTTTCTGCCAAGTAAAATTAAATCTAACGTTAGAAGTACAAACTGAAAGATTAGAAATAAGACGCACCTAAACCATAACTATTATTTAAATGTACTTGAAATAAGAGAACACCTTTAATTAATTTGCATTTTCTGTTCCCATATGCTGCATTCATGAGTGGACTTCTAAGTTCATTGCCTAAATACCCTTATTTCCCAGAAGTAATGAACATTGGCATCCTATATATAGGCTGTATTGCTGTAATAACATCTCAGAAGACAAAACTAGTATGTATGTGCTAATAAAAAAAACAAAAACATTGCTGTTAGGTGAGTGTATTAAGTAGATTGTTTCAGTCAGGTGAATTGTTCAAACAGATGATTCTCTTTCTTATTTGTCATAGACTGAATCATGATTAGGCCTACAATCAACAGCTGCACATTACCAGAAACTTAAAATGAAACCAAATCCATAACTCAATGTTTAGGAGAGCATGTAGCTTTACCCTTTGAGAACATTTAGAGAACCCCTTATATTGCTGTATGTAGCAAGCTTCACAGATCACAAAATATTGCAAAACAGACTGACTGAGGTCAGATATTTGATGTACCTGGATGAAGCAAATCAAGCCATGGAGAATATCAATGTCAAAGTCAAAACTAGAAGTCCAACATTCTTGGCACACAGATTGCCATATGGTAGTTTATTGGGGTATTAAGTATGGGTGAAACGTTCACGTGAATGTTTTTAACATAAAGAGAATGTGACTAATTATATGGCAACTTTGAGGATAAGGAGGAACAGATGATTAACAATGATTAGCACAGTTGGTATATTTCATAAGACTTTTGGAAAGGCTATAGGAAAGGCTATAGGTAATGTGCAATTGATACAATGAATAATGCAATAGGAAGCCCATGGTGACTCAATTTCTTTGCTAACGCTCTTTGCAGACTTGTGCCTCCCCAGTTCCTTTCCTCACATGATGAGGATAGATATATTTGTACAGTAAGTCTTGCTTTTGAGGTTAAACCCCCAAAATAGAAATTCTAAGTACAAAGAAATAAGAAAAGTTTCCTCTTTTAATGTATTTTCATTACAAAATTATACCGAAGGTTATTTGTTACAGGAGGTTAATACCCATTCTGAAAAGAAAAAAAAAAAAAGCCTAATGATATTTTAATATGTGACTTTAAAGTACTCGTTCTGACTACTAAGCAAGATCTATGTCATTAAATTTCAATTAGTCAGTACAGGTTGATGGTTACTACACCATAAAGGTAAAAATGCATAGCAAATCAGTAAATAAGCACATTTGATAATCCTCATATGATTTGGCAGCTAGTTTCTAAATGCCTGGCATCTCAGACTAGGCTTATTAAATTCTAAATTAAATATGCCTTAAAGAAGCTTAATTTAAAGTGCTATTGGACAGCCTTTGGGGAAGATAAATCTTAAATAACAAGTTATCGTTTTTAGCAACTCCTGTGTCTGCGGGCTGTGCAATAACAACTTACCACCTGTTTCTTGCAGAATGCTTTGGTGATATATTCAGTATTAAGTTAAACCAAGGTGCTGCTTAAAGTATTGTTAGAAGACCTAAAACAGACAGACCCGAGGAGTTAGGGGAATAATAAGTGGCATTGCTTTGGAGATTAACTAGCAGCTATTGGCAATAAATGATACAGCCTCATGTTTATACATGATTTTAATAGCTGAGGAGGTTTCTATAAAAGTTTTCTGATTTCAAGCAGATGATGCAAAACAAATTTGTGGGCTTGTTTAATATCAAGAAGCTGATGGCTAGCTAAAAAAACACCAGAAATACATTGGATTTTAAAAAAAAAGGTGGTGCATTTTCATTTTTTCAGATCTAGTGGTCATAGTAGATACCTTTAGGGAAACAACAGGAATGTGGAGTTTAAATCAAAACTGGAAACAGTGGTGCCTCAGGCTTATTTCTCAATGCTCTGATAAGACAGTATCAATAGACGATTTCTCACTCTCCCTCCCTTGTTGGTCTCCTACTTGATTTTGCTTCTTACTTGTTCACAAAAGCTATTTAATCTTAAAAAACACAGTTTCAAGAAACATCTTGTATTACAGTAAAAATGCCATGAGAATTAATACAGCCACATACTATAGCACATCAAAATTTGATCTTAATTTTACCGTGAGATTAAAAGTCCTCTCCAGATCTATTACTTAGCAATAAAAAATTGGAGACACACAAAATCACGATATTTCCCTTTCTTTGCAACGCACTTATGACTTAATGCCAACAGACTCTAGTATCCCTATAGCCAAAAAGATTGCCAACTTGTATTCTGATATTATCCTAGTCCTGCACTATGTACATGTATTATACATCACACTTCACATAATGCAAAGCATGTATTGGCTCTCCCTGGAGAGGAAGAGCACTGCTCCCTTATTTGCAGGGCACGACAAGAATCAAACATGTTGATATAGAAGCAGCTACACAGCATGTATTATATGCAGAGAAGGTAAGCTGTACCTCAGAAGAAGTTTTTTAAGCTTTGGAAGAAAATCACTACCTTAAAATCTAGGATCTGATGACTTCCAGGACAAGTTGCAAACATGAAAAGCTGCCCTATCACAAACCCACTACATCTGTAGTCATGAATATGAACTAGCTTTTTTGACAGGTTGAAAGAGCTATAACTAGAAGAAAAGGAAATAAGAAATATTTCTCTGCCAGCTATTATAAAACACAGCTGTTGCCCAGGATGCTCCATGCTGGAGTATTATTAATAGACACTAGAAGGGTTTAAGTTTTATTTCCATAAGCCTCCATATTTTATTACAAGTCACAGGTATATTGCTTCTTGTTCCAGTATTTACAGGAAGAAAAGCACCAAAAAGATTCTAGGCAGTTATACGATGTGAATGGGTCAAAAAAAAGACAGTGGAGAACAGCAAAGGCATGTTAAGTGTTAATATGGGCCAGGCTTGCTTTTAATATCAGCCCCTGCTGCCTTACATACTGGCATAAGGTAAGAATGCATGACGTCCTCTAAGCAAAACTCCATTAACAGTGTAAGCAAGAAAATAAAAATATGCAACAGAAGTTATTCTGCTTTTTGATTACCCCATAAAAATGCTCATACTGTGCTCTTTTCCCATCTACTAGGGCCAATTAAAAGTATTCATTGCCCCAGACATGCACAAGGTTGTAGGAACACACAAAAAACAAATTCAAAACAAACATTAGCTTAACATTGAAAACCTCTATAGAAACTCTGCAGAAATCCTTTGCTCCCTCTTCATTTTCTCCAGTCCATATTCTTAAAAAGCTACTGTTCAACTAAATGTCTATAGAGACATTATTTATTACTTTTTTTTTTTTTTTTTTTTAGAATTAAGAACCGAAAATTTATGAAGACTTAATAAACAGCAATTTAACAAATCTCTCTTGCACAGGAAAAGGAGATCTGACAAACAACGAGCCCTCTCTCAAGCTCTGTATGACTGGGCATTCTACATTTCTGTATTCTACAGAAATAAAGTAGAAATTTCACAGAAGTAAAACTGAGCAACTAAGTAAATGCTTCGCTTTTGCTGATGTGCAAACAACAGAGAAGCTGCTGACCAGAATGGGAATCAAGTCATAAAATCTGATGGCACAGAAACAAGGAAATAAGCGTAAGCAGCTATGGATACTGAGCTCTGGTCCAGTCTTACTAGCTTTCTCCATCTGTTTTTCTGTGACGTTACTGCATTTCATCCTACTCTGTGATACAGTATTTGTCATTCATATGAGAACTGAATTACGTAAGTGTGTATTTCAAGCCTAGAAAGGAAATGAATACGGTTCTCTTGTAATTATAGTGGTTGCTATTCTAGCACCCTGCATAGACTGCGTGAAAATCTGCTAAAAATTCTGGGACAGACAAATATTTTTACAGCCTGAAAATACACTTTTTTTTTTTCCCTTTTCTTTTCTCTTTTAAATCAAAGCTTAATTTTTAACAGTTTGGAATTAAGCACTTCCAGAACTTTGAGGTATTTGTTTCTGGGGAAGTAAAACCCAGGCAATATATTACTGTTTATTTTGACCACAGCTGTATTATATGCTTAGTAAAAAATAGTTTTCAAGTTCATACAGTTTAATATTTATAGTTACATTTCAGCAGAGCAACAGAACTTTTTTTTCTGTTCAGTACAAACCCTGTGTTAGACCACTTATTGTAGCCATCCTGCTGCCTACATTATGGATTTCTGAACTTATCAGTACAGCAGTTTTGTGCTTTATCTGTACCTCCCATCCAGCCAAGCAGCTTTCATAATCTGCTAGGCTAAACATTAGCTGCTCACGGTGAACACGTATATGTAAAGGAAATCAACTTCCTGCAGCAAAATATTTGGAATTATGTGATTCCTTTCATGCAGACCTCATTTAAGATTATCACACCCGAGCCATCCTCCATGAAAGAACTACTCTGACTGCTGCAACAGCATCCAGATCAGCCTGTACACACCCTGCTGCCTGGCCTCATTCCAGGCAGTAACGACCAGCTGAGTTTCTATGATGCACAAAAGCCCCAAATGCTCTTACAAGTGCACTGTGAATCCTAATATATAAGAGAAAAGAATCAGAAAGCAATCATGTAAATAGTAAAGCATACACTGCAGCAGCAGAGAGTAGGTAAAGCATTCTGCCTTTACTGGATCTTTCCTTGCTAATCTGACACAGCATTAACGAGTAGAACAGGAGTTTTGCTCAGTTTCTGTACAGGTAGGAAGCAACCTGAACAACCTTTTACATATAGATACAATGGCAGCAAGTGCCTGCACATCTAAAAAGAGAATTTAACCCCTCTCACTTTTTTTTTTTTTTTTTTAAATAGATGCCCAGCTCATCTGGACACTTCAGACAAAATGTGCTAGTCTATTATTTTTGCTATGTTTTGTGAATAGTAAGCTACTCTGTGTTCCTAAAAAAGCTCCTCCTTCTCTTGCCTAATCAGCTTTTTTTCCTCCTATTGAAATTCATGCCCTTAAACCAGAACAGAAGCACACACATCTCTTTTCCTTTAACAGTTATCTCCAGCCTTAGCTACTGAAGCTTCAAGAGCTTCAAGTCCCATTTTCTTTGTCATCTTCATCTCTCTTTTTTCTCTCTCTCTTTTTTTTTTTTTCTTTTTTTAAATAGATTTTGGCCCTTTGCTAGGAATGCACCTTATCCACAAATATTTTGATGTAAATAACCAAAGCATAGTCAAACTGGGCCCTCTGTTGGTAGGAGACAAAATGTCTCATTCTGAATGTCTCTGTAATTCATGTTCTTCACTTCAGACAGTATGTCTATAATAGGCACGAAATAAAAGGAAAAAATATTTGCATGTCTTAAATACAGACAAGTCAGTTGTTTACATGAAGTCTTAAACTTTTTTTTTTTTTTTTTTTTTTAAATATTCAGTTCCTGTTTAACTAACTTGAACTGAAGAACCGTTTCCCAGAAGTTCTAATTTACTTGAATGAAATGCTCACACAAGTAAATTAAGTCCACAGAGGTTACAACAATACCTGTGATCAAAACTGCAAGCACAACAGTCAAAACAGCCTCCTCTTCAGCTTTCCAGAGGCTCTCGGAAGAAGTCACCTTCATAATACAAATAGTATTGGGGGGACTCTCAGGCTTCGCTCAGTGTACTAACCAGCGTCAGGAGCAAAACACTTGCTGATTTTTCCCACTTTCATAATATTTTATAAATAGCCAACAGAAGGACTTCCGTAGTGTGAATCATAGTACTGCCCCAATTAAAGTAATGTGAAGAAATTAATAATTCATTCTAATTGTCAGAGAGATTTGAGAGGAATGCTCAGAGGCAGGGAATTCTCAGTAGTTTTCAGTGGTGTAATCTTATACATGTGCCTGCTTTTCACCTGTTGCAGTGGTTTCGGACAGAAGATCAGGAGATAAGACTGCTGCTCCCCACTTCCTTACCTGTCTTTTCTACATTAAAAATGCCTGATCTGCTTATGAAGCAAATCCTGGACAGCTGCATTTCAATGTCTGATGTTTTGAGGCAAACCATCACTGACTACTGGCTGCAGACCAAAAACCTAACCCTCTCCTTTCTATCTCCTTTTGTTCTGTATTTGTAAAGTTTGTCCATCGTCCCATCTCCTAGCATGCAAGCTACACCCCACTGGGATCTCAGTCCTACCGCACCTGCCCACATGATTTTTTGGACCAACGCATCTGTCCCTGTATCATCCAGTCCCTAAATTATATCACACATCTCCGTCCTCTGATCTGTGGTCTCTCTGCAAGTTCCACTCTTACAGGCTTAGATGCATTTAGTTACACCAGTTTAAAAAGAGTCAACATTTCAGTGAATACACTGAACGTTCACTATATAGATGTGTTAATTTCATGGTTTGTTAGTAAATTTTGTGTTTCCTGGGGCACAGATATTAATTTTAAATACATTTTCTTCAAATCTTTCAAAATGACTTAAAACTTTACACTACTAATAAATCTGAATTAAAATCAGAATTTCACTTCTTTCATGGCAATAATGAAGTATTACTTTCACAATCTTCAGTTCCTTCTTACAGAACCAATAATATATGAGATGTATATTGAAAAATGTTTCTCAAGCTACAATAGAACTTGAAGATGTTTCCTTTGTTAGTCACTGCAATGTAATTTCCTCACGAGCACTAGAAGCACCATCCCCTTTGACCACCCGCTTTTTTCTATTGCCCGACCTCCCCATCAATCCCTCCTTTCCTTCCTCCCACACCATCTTTGTTTTATTAAGCAGATTTGACAGTTTTCTTTATAAAGCTTTAAGAGAAATAGAGGATCAGGGTATTTGTCATTTTGCAGAGCAGACTGATTTCTTTTAGTCTCTGATACTTATTTCCCATGTGGAATGCACAAACTCCAGAAATGAGGCATCATTATGAACATCAAAGCAAATGTCAGATTGCCCAGCTGCTGACATCTGAAGTCCTTACCCACCTGCTTGCTCCAAAGCAACCATTGTAGCCTGCTCAATTAAGTCACGTTCAATGAAGCTTCTGAAATCTTCACTGTACACGCTAAGGTCTGGTAGCTGGAATGTGTAGATGGGCATCTCCAAAGGGAACTGTTCATTGCTGCACTCGTTTGCTACATGTGATCGAGCAAGAGAGACTATGGCTGAGCTGGCGTGAGAAATGCCTCTGGAAAGCCGCTTCTCTGTAAAGAAACCAGAAAGATGATACAGCCTGTGACACTACACTGAAAACCATTCAGCACCAAAAGTCTGGTGAATGCCTATTCATTTCACTTGGGAATGTATTCTGCTTCTTGTTTGTTTCTGTTTTGGGGTTATTTCGCTATGGCAAAGGATTGCTTAGTTATGATTACAAATCCCTGTGGCATGTCTTCTAGCAAAATAGACAGAACAGTAAAAGTAAAGACATGAAAGATGACCACTTCTATTAAAAAAAAAAAAAAAAAAAAAAAAAAAAAGCTGGAAAGCTTTTGTTTGTTTGTTTCCAAAGATGTATTATGAGAAACATTTACTGGCAGATGGACGAAAATTTGAGAGTTCTAAGCATTATCTGATTGACTTGTGAATGTAAAATACAGCACTCTTCAATCACTTCATTTCAAGTGCCACGCTGTTTTAATCTCAGGACAGTCTATCTGAACACAAATTTTCCATCATTATACTGAACTTAAGACAAACTCAGTTTTTAGGCATGTGTTTTGTGGTTGTTTTTTTGTTTTGTTTTGTTTTAAATCCTAATCCAAGGAAAAATACACAGTTCAAAAAGAACAATGAAAATAACAAGTCTAGTATACAGGAATGATATTTTATCTAAAACACTCAATCTAACGTCTTATGATTTATTGAACTTCTTTGCTGACATATGCCACATATGGAACAGCCAGTAAAGGGTTGATAATGCAAAATAAGCATTGTAATGTCAAAGGGACAAAACACAACTATTGTGTCATCTTAGTTTACTGCATGTCCTCAGTTCAGGTACCAGCAAATGGGTAACAGAAAAACTCACGTACTACATTAACACTCTTCAAGTGTTTAAACCACAAATCATTCAGTTAAAACTGAGAAATATTTTTGAACATGGTAAAACTACAAACTTGTGACAAACTACAGACACACTGTACAGTTACAACAAGTAAAAGGTTTCAGATAGCAGTTTTAAAGGGAATTAGTTAAACTTCAGAAAGCAATCTCATTTTTTAAATAGACAAATTGTAACATTGCTTGTTTTTTCTGAGAAACTGCCTACTACAACAGGTGGGGGTGAACGAGATTATGGTTTGATTTGAATTGGTAATTTCTTATTTTATAAGACAAGATTAGCTGTAACATGTAGAATATTCATCTACAAAAAAGAGTATTTCCAATTCTGCAATCAAGTGAAAGCATCATATTTTGCAAAACATTAAATTGGTACCTGAGAGCAACAACTTTTTTTGTTGTGTGTGGGGTAATGCCTTCAGCTAACATCTGGTTGTGTTAGCCGGTAAGCATAAACTGATGACAATTCATTAAGGAGGAATAGTTGCCTTTCTTCCTTTTGTCTGTGCTTCCATGGAACAGCTCTAATTCTGTGAAAGCTGTTTAACTTTTGGATTAAGAAGTTTATTTAACAGTTACAATAAAAGCGGCTTATAAACTGCAAGATGCAAGCCTTTTCCTTCTTTTGCTACATGTTTTGGCCAACACTATGAAGTAGCCTTATTAAAGGATATTTGTATTACTCTGTGTTCTCTGCAGGGACTGAAGCATTTCTGTTGATTGAGTCCACGTGCTGTCCTTACGCCAGCACATTTCCTTCATCACACAAGAACTCCACCCAGTTGTTCTGGGGTATCATTTCACAGTGATGCAGAAACCACTGCTAGAGCATTTCCTCAGATGCCCAGAGGAAGTTTCCCTCTGTTTAGTTTCTGGCCTGTACTCCTGTTTATATCTTTTAAAACTGAAATGAACATTTTGTACCCGCTTGGGATTTATGTTCATCAAATGCTACTGGTCTTCTCTCTCAGAAGTTTAACATTGAGCATAAAGTTTCTTTCTGCACCTGAGGAGTGGCACTCCTTAGAACCACAGTCCTGTTGCCTTTCTGTGCTTCAAAGAGACTGACCTCAGGCCTGCCAACAACTTGTACTCACTCTATCCATCCTTAACAGTGGAGATTAACCTAAACTGGTCCATCACAAGACCCTCTTTTCCCTTCACTGCTCCTCCCAGAACATCCTCCTCGCTCCAATTTCGGAACTTTAGTCAGAGACGGCTCAATGATCATGAAGAAGTCATGAAGGACTTCAGTTATGCACCAAGGTGGTAGCAAATTTACTGTCAGTCCAGATGTTTAAAGCCAAACTTACACCACACTGCCTACTGCTGACACAAAAATATCAAATAGACATTTCTGTGTAAGACTTGACAGTTAGATCCTAATGAGGATGGAAGCAAACAGCTTTATCAACTACAGTGTGCTACTCTTCCTCCCTCTATCTGTATTAACTCACACTTTTAGGAGTCATAAGAAGCACTGCAGCTCCTTTTCTACTGGTGGAAATTTTCTATTTAAAATAAAGCTTTGATGATACTTGTAATAACTGATGCCATTTCCTGTTTAATAGGAGGCAAGAGCTGGGAGAAAAAGGGAAGACTTTCTCATCCTTCTAACACCTGCATAGAAAGCCCTACTGAAATCACCAAGGTAGTGCTATTACGTCCCTACATAAGAAACTATCAGGCTTTTAGATTTACCTTAGTGCAAACTACAGTTCCTTGATAAAGTAGTATGAAAAAGAAATGCATTCCAACAGTCTGAGCAAAATAGGGGTCTGCAATAAAACCTATAATGGAATTGCATGCAAGAAAGTAAATTCTAATGCTTCTCATGCTGTACTGGAAATCAACTGCTAGAGGTAGCTGACTCACTTTTCTTCCTAAGGTTTAAATTTCTATTTGGTGGGGCTTGAGTAGGGCTGTTCTTTCTTCTGGAAAACCATAAAAGAACAAGAATTTAGAGCTGAAATTCATAGATTTCATACAGACTACTCACATACTATCAAAAAGAATGCAAAGGTTGAAATGCCAATTTAAAAATTTATTATTATTATTATTAACCTTTCTTGGTCTCATGAAGCACAGAAAACTGCATCCAGTAGTGGTCTTTGACACCCTCTTATTAACTCCCTTTATGCATACCACAGGACTGCTTAGGAACAATGCATTTTTGTATGAATCGCTCATTAAAAACGTAATTTGCAGAGCTGAGGAAAAGCTCATGACAAACGAAATGTGGAACGCAGGGTCCAGTGGCAGCACCGCAAAGCCCATCACAGTGACACAGCTCACAGCCTGAAGGACGATGACTTCCAGCTCCGCACAGACAAGCACAAGTCACCAGCAGACAAGCTAGAAAGCTGCTTGCCCCCAGAAGCCCCCAAGAAGAGCTCTTACCTTGAGCAATGTCATCCTGCCTCTGCAGGCAGGGCCGCTCAGCCTTTGTCACCTGAGGGGGCTGCTCTGGCTCTGGCTGCTTGCAGTGCTTGCCCTCGTTAAACACCTGTGGCAGGTTGGCGGTGTGCACCTGCCGGAGCTGCTCATAGTCACTCAAAGCAGCTGTCAGGTCCCAGTTTTTGCCTGCAAACAGCAAAAAGACATTATTCTCATGTCTGTATGTGACCACGCTTGGAACATGGAAACATCTCCCCGTACACGTAAAACATCAACTTCAACAGAGAAATCGTTCCCACGTAAAGCATCAGCAGGGAAAGAGGTTTCCTTGGATAAAACATTTTACAGCTGCTCCTCCCCAAACAAAAATGCAGTTGATAAACACCTTGAAAGTACACAGCAAATGGGCAAAGATGTGAACCTTTCTTTTCTATTTTATTTTTCTTATATCTTATATCCTGTTGTGTTGTTTGTTTTTTTATTGTATGTGTTCTTGTTTTGTTTTTATTATTTATCTCTACAGAACCTGCAGCCTTCTGCACCCATCCACTGCTGTATGTTTGCTTCAATTTTTTGCAATGCTTCAGCATTTCCATTTGCAGGGGCTGATCTGACCGTATGCTTTTCTCCAGCACCCTGACCACACTCAGACATACTGACCATCTCTCAGTTGTGTCACATCCTTTTACATTCTTTACTGTTATTTAAAATTTCACTTTCCAAAATAGATTTGTCTAAATCACTGAACAAACTAATAAAACTTCTGTGGAAGAGAATGAATTCATAGAATCCTAGAATCATAGAATATCCTGAGTTGGAAGGGACCCTTAAGGATCATCAAGTCCAACTCTTGACACCGCACAGGTCTACCCAAATTGTGTACAGACAACTCAGAAATTTAATTAAGCAGGATTTTAAACATTACCTTTTGCACAGATTTTTGATAAAACAATCCAACTAAATAACAGGGGTTGGTGAGGTGTTTTGTTTGGTTTTAGTTTCAAAGCTATCTTGGAAAAGTTTGAGTGACCTCCTGACAAGGTCCTGATTTCTTTCTGTCAGAAAATTTATTTCCATCTTACTCTGCATTTCAACAAGCTGATCAGCTTGAAAACTGAGATCTGAAAGAAAAGCACCAGGAACCCTTGGAGTTTTGCATTGCATTGGCTCAAGAATATCACCTACTGATTTTTTATTTTTGTTTAGAACTCACCTTCATAAAGTTAATAGAACTAGCATCACCCAGGCTTTGCAAGAGTGTTCACAGTGCTTAGACATCTTTATTCACCCTTATTTTTCTGCAATTAAAACTGGCCCAGAAATCAGGAATGGAGAAAAAGTGTCCAGTTTTTGTTTTTTTTTACCTAGTGTTTCTTTGTCAAGTCTTCAGCTCCATTGTGCTGTGAGGACAAAGAGACCTAATCCTTGCTTGCTCTGAGTTAAGCACATGCTTCATCACACCTGACAGGCTTTACTAACACAGATCAGGCCCCCATTCAGCAGCCTACACTTGTTGCACTGTTACTAGATCTTATGTTTTTCAGGTGATAACATTCAGGTGGCAAGACCTGAGTGACATGCTGTTACTTAGGCTTTTTTTTTTTTTTCTTTTCTAAAATAGCATCACTTAGTGGCATTGCAACAGTTAATAAATTCATTTTCTTTCAATTCTTAAAAACAGTCATCAGAGAAGGAGAGGACACTCATCATTAATTAGTAGGAATAGCAAGCATGCAATTACAAAGCCACACCCACAGCTTTCAAATATCCTCCTACTCCAATATGTTAAAAAGAACATTTGAAAGGTCACCAGCAATTCTTGGTACAATGATAAACAACGCGCCAGAAAGGATGCAATCTGAGAAGGAAAGATCTAAATAGGAAGGACTGCAGTGAAGGCCAACCTGCAACAACACACATGCAGGACTTCAGCAAAGGAAATTTTAAAAAGGGCAGGAAATGCAGCCTAAAGTTAAACACGACCAAAAACATATAAGAAAAAGGATGCGGAAGGGGAAGGGAGAGGTTAGAGATAATTAAACAAATTGTGTTGACAGTTCAAGAACTGCTAGTGCTTGTATCTAAGAAGCAAAAGCAATAAAAGCATCCAGTAAGAATGAATGTGAAACTTTCACAAAACAATGAAAAAGAAGCCAAAATGCTCAGAGAGAAAGCGACTTGAAAAATTACAGATGTTGTATTTATGAAAATAAAAATGAGGTCTGTAGAAGCACAAAAAGACAACGCTGCTGAACTAAGCTATGAGGAAGAGAGAGCATCATTTTTCATAGTAACAAATATAAGAAACCAAAATTAGTATTTTAGTAAAATGGCAGTAAAACTAAAGTGAACACACCTGGGATTTATAACCATTCTAATTAAATACAGTATTTGCCCATATACTTTACATTCAATGCCAGTTTTTTGTTGTAGTTAATGAAAAATCACATGTAAATGCAATAGTATTTAGAAAACAAGATGACGATGACTGGAGAAATGGTACCAATAATGTAACATTTTTGCCAGCATTTCTTAAACATTTTACTGTCACTGTGCATATAATTTACTCATGAAGTTGAAAAAAAATCACAATCCCAGTAATACTAACACTAATGCAAAGCTTCCACTGAACCAACCCCCTATTAAAAATAATAACAACAATAACCAAATAAAGCCTCCCTGCTTACAGAACAGGGTTGAAGGCTGTGAACTGCCTTGCTAGCAGACAAATCCTATTTTCAATGGCATCCTGATCAATTCAAAACCTCCTGCAGAGTCACTACTTTGTGCCTCTCATAATCCCAAACATGCCAAACCATGGTATGCAGAGGTGTTCTTGGAACAGCAGCTGTCCCACAGATGGGAAGTATCAGCTGTCAGGTGGGAGCAACAGCATCTCTTTTAGCCCATGATTCTCAACCAGCATTTCACACAAGGCTGTTCTGTGGCTTGGTAGCAAAGCAATTAACAGGCACGTGAGCTTTCAGCAGGAATGTATGATTCATGCCGTCCTTCCCCTTATGGGGATACAAATGCACAGAGGTACAGTCTGAGATGTTTACTAATAACCAGACATAAATCCAGTGTTTGGCAGACAGTATAAAGTAGTTCTAAGTACAAAATCAAGGTTCTTATTTCATAAGTGTTCTGGGCCATCCTTCATCTTAGACTTTGAGCAGTTAAGCATGTAAAAAGTAAAGCTACTAATTTCTAAGTCATTGTCCTCCTTCCAAGAAAGCAGGCAAGAATTCTTAGCTGAAAGTGTTGGCTGCAAGCTGAAAGGAGAAATGAGAGAATTCTACCTTAAGAGCTCCTCACGAGCAACGATACGCCCAAGATGGACCAATATGTGGTCAACTGCAGCAAGAGAGCAGTTTTTGTTCCTCGAGTTACATGGGTATTCAATTTCACAGGCGAATTCAAACAGGTTGGAAGGCTGTGAACTGACTGAGCTCTCTAAAACACAGGAAACTCTTTAAAATTCTTCCTTTCCCTATCTGTCTCAACTTTGTCCTGTCTAGGTTTGATGTTAATTTCTGTGCTTGTATTACCCTACATATTTAAGGAAATGGAAAATGTTCACCTTTGACACAATGGGAATTAAATGCTGAGCGCTGCTAGTGTATTTTGCCACAGACAGGACTTCTCCCTGAGTACTTGTATACCTGGCTGTTTTGTGAGATGCTGCTGGGAGACAGGATTCATAATTGCCAATAATTATGAGATCTTCTATCTTATTTAGGACCAAAAGGCAAAATTACAACATTTATATAACAGGCAAGACTCGGGAGCCCTTACTTAAATGTCTCAGCTGAACCATGACCAACTTCCATCTTTTTAATGCACTGTATGTTTCCAGCTGCATGTGCTGGTGAAGTTACAAGAGCTATACTGAACTAGAGGAGTTCTGGCATTTTACCTTCACAGTTTTCTAGGATTTTTTTTCATAGGACTCTCTCTAGATATTGTGACTTTGGATTACAGGTACAAGAGGCAAAGTTATAAGTGATATAAAAACAAACAAAATGTAATTCCAGGAACCAAGAAGTGGCTACAGAATACACTAATACACTTTTCAACTGCAAAAGTTTTTACCTCTTCAGTTATTCCTAACTCCCAAGAGCTCTTTTACCAGATAACAACAATTATTTATTAAACCTACAAGTCAAAATGAAAAGATGAATAAGCTAGAAAGGGTCAGAGAAATAGTAACCAATTTCTGTCCTTCCAGACTATTAACTGATTGTTAGTTTTCATTAACATAAAATGATCTTCATTTTGTGCCACTACACCAGTGGACAATAATTAAAACTTCCCCCAACTTGACAGCCATTTAAGATGCAAAGTCCACCATTGCCTTCTTTCCCCTGTAAGGAAGTCTGTTCTGCTAATAAAGCAACCCACAAGGTCAGTTCAAATCCCGTCATTTCTTCCTATTTGGCATGATGCAGGTTAGCAGAAATACTAACAGGCACACAGTAAGAGGAATTTTAGATTAGCTGTATTCCTTCTGAGAAGCTTATATGCAAAACTAGGTTAATATTAGACCATAGGAGTTAAAATGAAATTTAGGTTTGGTTCTCAAATAAAATAGTGCAGCAAAGGACATTTTGTTAACATTTCTCTCTTTTTTGGCTAAAATGCAAACTCACTCAAAGCTGAGCAGACAGCTGGAAATAACCATTTTGATCTCTGCGTAACAAGACATTGATAGCTGCTCAGCTTCCTCTTCCCTTTGCCAAGCCTTCCACAAGAGACTTATAAAAGGAACCGTCTGAGGGAGAGAGAATAGGAGGCTATTTTGGGGGAGTTGGTTTTGTACAACCACATGACAGTACTGTAAATTCCTCTCTCCGTTAATTACATGCTTTTCTTTGAATTCTGCTGATATACACTGTTCTCTGAGGGAGACCATCTATCTACTGCATCTCTCAATTTCCATGGGGTCAGTATCCTTTACCACAGACATTTCTTGACTAGGAAGCCAATCTCCTGATTTCTGTTAGCTGAACTACACATTCATTACTTCAATTAAGCTCTACATAAAGCTGGAAAAAAACACCAATTACTTTTATATATCTCTGCTACACTTCACCATTAAACAGTCAAGCAGAAAAACAAAGGTATAATCATTTATACAAATAAATGCTGAAAGTGATAATTTATATAAATGAATGAAAATATTT